GAGCGTGGTCACCAATCACAGCGTGTATTCCCATTGAGTCTTAGTCTTGGAAGGGGGTTTGCACTGAGGGGACCCGACCACTTGCCTTGATGTTTCCTGGGCAAGCATGTTGCTTGTTCTTGTAGTAACAGTCAGTCTGTCTATGTTGTTTTATATTTTTCCTGTAGATCTTTCTTTCAAGAAGTATCTTCTGTTCTTCTAGCCACTCCAGGTTGGTCTGCTCTTCTTGTATTTTTTGTAACATCACTTCTAGACTGTGGGTAGGGCAAATGGCAAATTGCTCAACTTCTTAGCCCAAAAGCTGGCTGTTTGAAATCACCCAGAGGCTCCTCAAAAGAGACCAGGCAGTGTGCATCTGCAAGATCACAGCCTCATAGACGCTCCGGAGTACAGTTCCAAGGTCTGATGGAGGGTCAAATACTAGCAGTTTCATCTTGTGAATGGAATCATTCGTATTTTCAAGCTACCAGATAGCAAAACACAGCCAGAGGGCAGAGCTGTGGCATGGTGGTGGAAGGGAGTCCACCTTTTCTAAACGGACTGGGCCTGGAGTTTTCTGCCCAGTGGAGATGAACCCAGCACCCTGAGTGCACCTGACCCTGACTGGGAAGATTACATTTCACCCAATATTGACATCACTTGAAATTCCCTTTGCTCATCCCAAAATACAGAAATCAAAGAAGTCATGACTTTTACTATTAGCTGTCCTCACATCTTTGATGTCCTGTGAACCAAAAATAGACCCAAGGACTTATGTTTTGTATTGAGTCACATACACAGATTTTCTTATTTCACACACACACCACTTCATCAAAAGATCAAATTACTTTTATCTATACAGCTCAGGACTCTATAAGAACTTTTTTAGCCACGAAATGGGAGGTTTTTTAATTTTTAATTTTATATTTTCATTTTTCTTGAAGGTACCAATATCCAGAGGGCTCCATTCTTGGGTTTTAATGCTTGAAATGGAGATGGATGAAGCAGGAGGCGAAGTCATTCTTCTAAAGACTGACCTGGCCTACATTTATACGCACACACAGTGTGTATGTGGGCATAGACTAGGAGCCCTGGTACTACCAATGGTAAAATGCTTGACTGCACTGTAGGATCACTACTGCTCACAAGGCCGGTGGTTCAAACCCATCAGCTGCTCCTCAGAAACCCTATCCAGAGCTGCTAGGAGTTGGAGCCAACTTGACGGCGCTTACCAACAACTAGCCCAAAGGTGGGTGAGCTTTCTGAAAGGTCACAGCCATGAAAACCCAACGGAGCACAGTTCTATGCTGGGCTGGGCACACTGGGTTACCCTGAGTGGGAATCAATGAGAAGGCCACTAACCGCATCTCAATTCTGCTCTCCCTTCCTTCTCCTTTTCCTCTTCACCATTCCCTTTTTCAGAGGTCCCTCAGCTTCCTGTACATTTTACCACGGCAGACGGGTTCAGCTACCTCATAAGGGGCTGAAGACTCAGAAAACAAGCACTTATAAACACCTTTTCCGATACGGCTCCCTGAAGTATTTTATTTGCTTGTTCTCTCTCTGTTTGACCAGTGGTCACAGCTCTGAGTCATGCGTTGGGCAGCCTGAAATACCAGCAATACCAGGGCCATGACTACACTTTCCATTCTTATTCAAACTCTTACTTCCCTCAAACCGCATTATCTTAAAACTAATGCTAGTTCATGTTTGGCCTTTAAATAAATGTGTGCTAATCTGTAAACCTTAACCAAGTTAACCCTATTAAATCAGTGCAAGCAAAATTGATCTACTCTCTTCTGTGCATTTCCTTGATGGCAGGCAGGAAAATAGAATCTCACAGAGACAACTTTTCCGGCCAGAAGGATGGAAGCATGCTCTTGACAAAATGAGTCTGAGGATAGGAATTAAGTGTGTGTGTGTGGGGCGCCGTAGGATAAGCACTAGACTGCTAACCACAAGTTCAGCAGTTCAAGCCCACCAGCCCTCCCTCAGTCAATCCTGTACAGAGTCGCGGAGTCAGAGCTGATTTGACGGCACTTCACCACCACTACCGCCTTATAAATAAAGTGCATCCCGGTACAGGATTGACTGAAGGATGGCTGGTGGGCTTGAACTGCTGAGCTTGTGGTTAACAGTCTAGTGCTTATCCTATAGCGCCACACACAAACTTCTCTGGTAGCGTAGTTACAAATCAGGCTGCTGACCTCAAGGTCGGCAGTTTGAAACTACCAGCTATTACATGGGAGAAAGATGAGGCTTTCTGCCCCCGTAAGATTTGCAGCCTTGGAAACCCTGTGCAGGGTCACTAAGAGTCGGAACTGGTTCCATGGTACGTTAACAACCACCTTATAAATAACATTCTCTCACTTTTCTCTATGTATACAGTGGCTTCAAACAATGGGTGGGAAAAATTCACTATCTTTTCATTGCATTTTTCCATGAACTTTTTGAAGCCCCTTCATATATAGTTACATGGTTCCCCAGGCAACAAAAACTTTCTATCTGGCCAAGAAGGGGCTTTAGAAAGTATGTGGAAAAATAGAAATAAAAGATAATGGAATGTATCCACCAACTTTCTGAAGTCTTCTCATATTTAAGAGCCACGGAAATTAAAATCTACAGGTGGAAATCCCCTTTGGGCTGTGGAGCCTTAAAAAATATGTGTATACCCCCAAAATCTCCATCACACAACTAGAACACTGGCCTGCCAGTCTCCTACTGAATTTGCTTCATAGGTTTCAGATAGACTCCATACAATGTCTACACATAAACACATGCTTTTGTTAGTATAGCTAAAGTTCCCATTTCCTTTATTTAGCTTTTTCCAAGGGCTCTCATAATTTTCTTTCGGTATTGTTAAGTGCTGTACGTGTCTAACTCATAGAGACCTTTTACAGGGTTTCCAAAGAGGGGCTGGTGACTTTGAACAGCCAACCTTGCAGTCCAGTGTTCGACCCCACAGCGCCACACCAGGACTCCTCATGCTTAAAAAACACTATCCAGATAAATTCTAAAGGGTGTCACACTGACAAGCAGACGCATTGCTAATCAAGAATGCGCTAAGTTGTTAAATGCTGTCGAGTTCATTCCAACCCATAGTGACCCTGTATAGTTTCCGAGGAGTGACTGGTGAGCTTGAACCACTGACCTTGCAGTTCAAACTGACCTTACAGTACAGCTCATTAACCCACAGTGCCACACCAGGACTCTCCTGTAGTGGTTGTTGTTTTAAGTGCCGTTAAGTCGGTTCTGACCCATAACAACCCTATATAGGGTTTCGGAGAACAGCTGGTGAGCTTGAACTGCTGACCTTGCAGTTCAATCCGACTTTGAAGTCCAGCGCATTAGCCCAAAGTGCCACACCAGCGGGACCTAAATGTTTACTATAGCTTTGCTTTCTTTTAACCAGGCAACTAACTTGTTTCTCATTTCTCTTTTGTACTCAGTCAACCCCTGAGCCACAGATGAACTCCTACCTCCTCCAGGAAGCTATTTTTGGCCCTTGCTGATTAATTTCCTTCCTTTGAATTTAGTAACACTTAAACCTGTGCCTTACAATTCCAGTCTAGTATCATCTGCTTATTTCATATGTATACAGGCCTTGCAGGGCCTTACTAGTTCCTGGTGTGCATGTTGTCACACTATCCTCACCAACTATTTATGATTGACTTGATGTAGTCTGGGACACGAATCCACGTAAGAAAGGACATAAGGTAAGTCACCCAGCCCTGGCTCCACGCAACTTCCCAGAATCATGATTCATTAAAGCATGTGTCTCTAAACAACTGAACGGAAGCCTCAGATGATTAAACTACCAGGATTCGGGCCTCCACTCTGATTAGAGAATACAGACTACATTAAGTGGGTGAGAGTAAAACACACAGCCCAGAACTCTGAGCTTCACACGTCTCTCTGTGCTTGGCCTTCCCCATTAATGCCCACACTGCCCAGTGAGTGCCTTTTTCACAAAACCCTGACTGTGTCAAGCTGGGAGGCCTCACTGTACATTGTTTCAGAATCTTTCGAATTCCCAGTGGGCCTCACCCTCCCTTGATGAGTTAAGTCCAGAGAATGTGTGGCAAAGGAGTTGTGTGACTTTTGACCCTTAGGATTCCACCCATTGTACACAAATGCTAGAGCCTGTGTTACCGCACCACCGACTACAGTAAGCGTGCTGAGCTCCATCCAGCACTCAAGAAACACCTTAGCGGGCACCTTCAGAGTAGGCTGTATGGCATCTCTAGCTTCCGAGCTCTGATTTTTGGTGCCATCTGCTGTTTGCCAAGCAGGGGCGACCAATGCTGCTTTCAACACCATATCTGAGCATGGCCTATCAGCACACATAACTAGAGTGGGGGTGGGGCTGAGTGATGAGGATGGGTTTCATAGGTGCATCTTTCCACCCTCTGTGGTAAAAAGGTGCTGCCGTACAGGTTTCCCATCAGTCTTCTAGCCGGCATGTAGGCTTTGGAATGACAAAGATGCAGACCCAAACTTGGCTGTGCCGTTTGCTGTGTGATTTCCACCAAGTTGTAAGTTCCCGTGGGCCTATTTTCTCATCTAAGAGTTATGAAAACTACACACAATAAATATACATAAAGCCTCTGGCACAGTGCCTCAGTACAGTGGATAGTCCAGGTTAGTTAATATTTTTATTATCCAAGAGTTTGAAATTCGTTAGAGAAGTCCACAATTTTCAATTCACTGACTCCGTCTTCTCAGAAGAGTCATCCAGAACTCGTTTTTTCTGTGAGTGTGGTACTTACTGAGTAGAAAAGTTCAGGGAACTGAGGTGAAAGGGTATTACCTCTAGCCCCACTCCCTCACCTCTCAACACACATGCACACAGCACGCAGACTAAACCTGTATGCCCATTTGTCCACATCTCCAATCCCGCCTGATGAAAATTGTCTGTGGTCTTTGAGGTTTTCAAAACGTTAAGCTGGGACAGTGAGGCCCCAGAGAGCTAGTGTCATCCACTAGGTGGGGAAGCAAGGCAGCGTGGGGTAACTGCTACACTACTCTGCTCCTTAGCTTCCGTGTACTGAGACCCCAGTCTGATGAGAAGAAATAACCCGGAGATCATGGATGGACCTCACTGTCCAGTGAGAAAGCTCTTGTAGCACCTTTAGACCCCAAAGCTTCTTCTCAAAGAGACCTCCATCTCCACCAGCAGGCCTCCTGTCAGCCTCGGTGGGTGGGATCGTGTGCTCCAGGAACACCATCAGCTCCTCCAGCTGGTAAGCAAAGGCAGCGACTTGCAGGAGAAGAGTATGGATAGCCTGATGGAAGTCCCCTTCAGTAGGGGTAAAGTGCACTCGCTGGTCTTCCAAAAGCGTGGTCAGCAGAACGTGGAAGGTACGGTACGCCCGTAGGTTCTGCTGCAGTCGCTCTGCCTCCGTCAGCTCTCCCCACTCCTCAGTGCTTGCCATTGGCACGCCATCCACAGAGTCCAGGTTGACGTTCTTGTTCAGGCCCTGATGATTGATCTGGCCAAAGACACGGAACAGCATCATGCCGTCTGCAGTCATGCACACTGCCCTTAATTCATATCACCCCGTCTCAAATGACATCTCACTCAGTGCCCTGGGTCAGGGATTCAAGTTATACATTTAGGGTCTGTGAGTGGACTTTAGGAAGACCCCACACTCTCTAGAAGTATGCATACTGTTATAGTATCTGTGTATTTTTCTTGGGAGAAATCTACAGCTTTAGGTTCTGAAGATTAAAAACCACTTGTCTAGAAAATTTTCCTACCCACTTGAAACTCTCCTAGAGACTGGAGCGTTTTAGTCATTCTCAAGTATTTTTAACGTAACTTGGGGACACTGCCACACCTAGGGAGCTCTAGAAGGTAGCTATAGAATTTTCCCAACCTTGTTCTTCCCAGTGACTACTGTCCATTGTGAGGACAATCCATTAAGGAATGCCGCAGGAAAACTGTAACTGGTACTTCAGTCTGATTTCTGACTGACAGGGCTGCATGAAGAGAAACCAGTTCTTTGAGAACCTGACTTTGTAAGTCTGCACAGGGTCTTGGAGTTACCACCATGGCAAGTCTTCAGTGGAGACTAATGGGAATTCGCCATCAGAAAACCGATCTGGACCTTCACGGGCAGCTCCTTCAGAAGTTACCACTTTAACAAGTCTCCAATGAATCTTTTAGGAGGATCCTTTTGTCAGCTTAGGTGACCTTTCTATTTAGGTACCGGGATTAGGAAGTAAATGGCTAATCAGGTATAGAAAAAAATTGGTTGGGGATACAAATTTCTCCCATTAAACATCATTCTGCCTTTCATTTATGTATTTAAAAATTTCAGAACTACATGAAAACTTCATTCTGATAGAATTCATAACGTAATCAACATAGGAACTGCCTCCAAGAGATAGTCACAGTCAGCCCTATCTAGGACCCCATTTTACTGACGGAATGATGCACTCTTCTTCTACATACCCCTAGAGGAAGAACATTGGGTCACTTGAGTTTCCTCAATGGAAGTGGGCCATGTCAAATTGGTCCCAGTATCTAAATGACTGTACGCTTGGGGCTTTCCTATTGTTAACGGTGCTGTTAAGATGATGCTAAGGGGCTACACATCATAAGAGTTCAAGTGAAAATAGACAATAGCAAAATAGACAACTCACATAAGATTCCGTAAGTGCAGTCAGGTCTGAACGAATCTTCCTTGCTAGCCAGATAGAGCGGCTGCAGAGGTCCCGGCGGTGAGGGGTCAGTGGTGAGCGCTCAGCGAAAGCCATCCCCTAACTCTACTGTCCCACGACAAGTGAGCTGGGCTTGCTTCTGTCTACACTGGTCCAAGTAAGAAATGTGACTCTCTCAGACTAAATCCACTGAGCATTCTCCACTAATGGGATTGTGCACCCCATCCCCACCCCTGCCTGACTCAGAGGTGGCAGCAAATTCCTGGCTGTGGATTTTTGTGCCTCTGGAATCAAAGGCCCCTTTTTAATCAGCTCCTTTTTCCTACTGCGTCTGCCTCCATCCTCTCCTCCACTCAGGGCTTAGCATACTTGTTTTTCTGTCATTGTTTTGCTTTTGCACTTAGCAACAAGGTCACTATCATAGGAATCCTCATGACACCCAGCTAACGCTGTCTCCTTTATGGACACACACAGTTCAGCTTATTCACTCGCCTCCTTTCTCAGCCTGCTCCTGTTACTGTATTATAGACAGTACCTACCATGGCCAGCCACATTGCTAAAGGCTTTCAAACAAACCTCATTGGAGCCTTAAAGGAATTGAGATATATATTTTCCCCATTTTACACACAAAAAAGCTAAGGTCAAATGGAGAAACACTTCCTTTAAACTACAGCACCTTTTCACTCCTGTTCTTTGGGTATATTTTAAAGCTGGCTTAATTAATACTTGATAAAAATAAACTAAGGAAGCATCTCTATTCTCAATCATGGTGCCTTCCTGGTAGCTACAGGATGAGGAAGGTACTGTTTAGGTCTGTTCTCCAAAGGGCAGGAAACACCCAACCCTGACTTGCAAACATTTCTAACGCAGTCTCACTCGAGTAACAACACGCTTTTTTCTTCCCCATTTCAACCATATCACAGGTTTTATAAGATAATTGAGTTGGGCTTTGAAGTGAGGACAAGATTCAAAAAGTGCTTGGAGAGCTGTCATTTGATTGCATCTAATTCGACAGGGAAGGGGCGACCCTGGCTAGTCCTTGGGTGGCACTGTAGAGTTAAGTGCAGGACCACAAGGTCTGTTTGAACAAGGCTGTTGTTCGACCCTGTATAGGGTTTCCAAGGAGCAGCTGGTGAGCTTGTACCACCGACCTTGTCGCAAACGACTTTGCAGTTCAGCACAGTAGCCCACAGCGCTAGGCAGGCGGTTCAAACTCACAAGATGCTCCTTAGAAACCCTATATGGAGTCACTATGACTCAGAATGAACTCGAAGGCACTTAACATTGGATACTGGTACTGTGGGTTAATGCACTGCACTGCAAAGACCATAGCAGGGTTGCTATGGGTCAGAAACCACGCAACGGCACTTACCACCACCACCATACATGTTGCCTCTACATTGAAGCACATGCCTTCTCAGGAGGCAAATTTCCATAGGTAAACTGAGATGTAAGGGAAAGACAAATGAAGCCTGGGCAACTGGCACATTAGGTCAGTTAAAAGGCAAGATTCTAGTTTTTTGGTTTTGTTAAAATTATGGAGTCCTGGTGTGACGCTGTAGGATAAACACTGGACTGCTAACATTATGGTCAGTGCTTCACACCCACCAGCTGCACCTTCGAAACCCTACCTATACAGGGTTGCTATGAATCGGAACTGACTCAACAGCACTTAACAACAAAGGTAGTATTATACTTTTTGTGTGTTTTTAAATAAAGTTAGTACTCTTCACATAAACATTATGTGTTCGTATTGAACACTATCAACACTTTTATCTCAGGAAAATTAATTTGTTTCCTCTATCACTAGGTATGTATGGTGGTCTCTCCTCGTAGAAGGGTGCTGAAACAGCAAAGGGATTTCCAACAATATGCTACACAATCTCAAAATCCTATGATGTCTTAGCATTGTTGTTGTTGTTAAGTGCCGTAGAGTCAGTTCCGACCCATAGCGACCCTGTACAGGGTTTCCGAGGGTGTAAATCTTTATGGGAGTAGAAAGCCTCATCTTTCTCCCGCGGAGCGGCTGGTAGTTTCAAACCGCTGACCTTAAGGTTCGCGGCCCGATTCGTAACCACTACGCTACCAGAGCTCCTTAGCATTAGAGATCTGGAATTCACCTCCATCAGAAGCTACCCCCTGGTTCTCAATGAAAGCAAACACTAGTACCTCCAGTAGTAAGTAACATGCTCTGAGGGCACTTGGTCGTCTTCTAGTGAGTCACACCTAAGTACACCGTAACCCAGTACAACCAAGGAAGACAAGTGGCTTCCATGAAGACTTTTATTTTTCTTCTTTACATATTTATTTTGGATATGCCTTACCTAGATTAAGAGAAAACAAGGGTTTGAAAAGCAGAGTATCCCTTTTATTATAGTTTTTTTTTTTTTTTTGACATAACCTTTTCAACCTAGATTCAGGTTAACTACCTGTCTCTTCCATCAAAAGAGAAGGGTCCTGCACATTACAACAGGCAAAAGGCTTTCAAGAAATAAAATAAAACTGATCCAGTACAACTTCTCAATTTTCTTGAGTACTATATTGGAAAGAAGGATGAAGACAGGAGGAAAACAAGGTACTTCAAACAACCAGACTATAACAATCCTAGTTAGGTTGGTAGTACACTTTTTTTTTTTCCAAATGGATATAAAGCAGGTTTGAGTGCTCCGTGTGGATGCTTTCCATAACTTAGTAATTTTCTTCAATCCCAGTATATTCAGCCAGTCTGTGTTTCTTCAAACTTTCTGAAGCATATTAAGGACTATCAATAATGTAAAATAACTTTGGGCAACCACAGAGAAAGGGGAAGCACATCTCCCGGAGATAATGAGGAGCTGTAGTTCAAGCAAAATATCAGGATTTAGAATTGCCAATTCAAGATGGAGAACATACAGTGGGAAGAGCATCTGAAGAAGGGGATGAAATGCAGGCTTTCAAGATGAAAAGTGCTGCTTAGGAGGACATCAGTATGGGGAGCAGAAAGGATATAGCAAGAGCGATTAGTGTAAGACAGTTTACGTATACCCACTCTTTCCTATGCTATCACCCCTTTCCCAAAAACGAAAAATGAAAAGTCCATGAAAAAAATTTTGTTGACTGATGGAATAAACTGCTACAAAAGTTTATTGTAGTAAATTGCAGACAAACAGAAGAGAATCAAAAAAAAAGAGAAATAGGAAGTTTCTTATTAGTAGAAATAGCTAGTTGCTTTCTGAGAGGTGGGTGGGGTGGTATAAGGCAGGAGAACAAATGTCCCCCACCCCCAACTCAGAAAGACAAAACTTTCTTATGTAGTTTGCTTTTGTGTAGGTGGCTAAAATATCTGATGACTAATGACTGCAAAGGAAATTTAGGGAAACCAGGGTAGAGTGTGGGGATAAATGCTAGCTAGAGAAACAGTACAAAACAGACTTGACGGAAGCGGGGCAGCTTTGTAGTGGACTCCTACTTTTCTGTCTTAACAGACCAGTCCACTCCAAGCCTGTACTCTGGGCAGGAAAGCATCTTCTAGATCCCTCTCTCTGTCCCTGCATTGGAGGGATGGCCAATCTGCCACCCACTGAGCAGAAACAATGGTGCTTATTGTAGGGCCTTCACTGTAGGTGTCTCACTCCCCATCCCCTAGCATTCCAGCCGCTGACACCAGTGGGTGTACACTAAGTCTCTCTCAGAGATGACATTTTAGTGCTCTCCTGATGCGCAAAACAAATCAAAGAGAAAACTGATAAACTTTGTATTTTTTAGTGTTTTTGAAAAACAAGCTGTTTCTTATTTTGTTCTCAGCAAAACTTCATTCTTTCCAACAGCCTTCAGCCAGTCAGACAATGAACAATGCACAGGGCAAGCCTTCAATTCCAGCTTCAGACATCAACAAAAGGATACAAAATGCCCTGTTGATGCTTTAAAATTTACTCAAAATAAGTTTTTAATTTTAATATCCGGGGGTTATAAAACAAAACGCTACTGGTCTCTCCCACAGATAATAGTAATTCACTCCATGAAAAGCCCTACAGCGGACGGGGGAATTCCCAGATTGTTCAGGTGAAAGCCAAAACTACCATCATATATACCTTTTATCTATGGAATCAGCCTTTCCTCTTGTGAAGAAACACAACAGGGTGATTTTCTTTGAATGAACATTTTAGAATCCACAGACTGTTCCTTCACTAGTGGCCGTGCCCTTCGAAATGCTGAAGAGCTGGAATGAACCAATGATAAATTAATGCAAAACCCCAAAAACCAAGCATGGGACCAGACGTGGGCCAATTAGGAGGTATGTATAAGGAAATGGTGAGGACAAAAATAAAAAATAAAAATAACCCCCCAAATCAAAGCCAGATTCACAAGAGAAACATCTCTTCACTGTAACGAAGACTCTGAACAATCCTCCTCATCCCCTTAAAATTCCTAGATCCCAATGCTCTAAAAATCCACAACCCTAAAACTGTCCCTGAAAAGGCTTCCTTCTGACAGGGACTAGGCTACTGTAGCAACTTTGTTAGTTCTGAGACGACCAACTTTCTTAAAAGGTCACCGGAGAGCTACGCTTTTAGAGGCTGCTGTGCTTCTGTGACCCTATGTCTTACCTTCAAAAGTACCTCTTCTGGAAAGGACCCCCTGTCCCAATAATCTAATCTCTCTCAGCCCCACAAAATATAGCAACAAAGATTAAAAAAAAAAAAATAAAAATCAGACTTTGCATTAATAAATAAGGAAATCTCAGTTCCACAACACAAAAACACACATGTTCAAAGTGCAAAATTTCTGCCATTAGCCTGGGACTTTACTCAGCATCTCACTAATAGAGCGGTCTTACCGTCAGACCATGCAGAGGGCAGCCCCCTCCCTCGTGGGAGCCTGCTTTCCAGCCAGAGAGCACCACTGAGAGCCATATGGAGGTGTTGGGAAGGGGACAGAAGTGCTAGGGTCAAAGAGGAGGGAGATGGTCCCCATGTGTCCTTCCTTTCCAAGACCCAGTGGGAAAAGCAGGAGAAGGGGGTGAAAGATATGTGCTGTTTGAACAACTCATCCTGCTAGCGGGCCCTAAAGTGCCAAGTCAAGCTGCCAGCCTCCGGAGATTAGAATGATAAGATACTTTGAGGATACATGTGCTGCATTGTCAAGCCAGAACCACAGTGCAGTGGTGAAGGAGGAAAAGGGATTTAGAGGGCAGGAATATACTATAAGTTAGAAGCTGATCCAAAGCACAGGTTACAGGTTGGAAGAGATCTGCAGGAAATCTGCCTGGCTGGAACCGAGGATGAGGATAACTTGATGTATTGTAAGAACTTTTTTTTGTCCACCTTTCTGGTAAATGCAGCATTAAATTTTATAAAGGGGACAAGGAGAATAGGGATGGGTATTTTTATGTGCTGTGATCCACAATGGAAAAAGAACAGGCCCTTCAGTTATTTTACTAGATTTTAAATGCTTAAGTTTTTTGTTTGTTTGTTTTTTTGTCCTTTTTCTCTTTAAATACAAAGTCTTCCCTCCCACTAAGGTCCAGTCGAGTCTGAATCTTCAATGAGAACCTCTGTGGTAGCACCGAGGAGATCCGAGTTCATGACCAGCCCTTCAGTGCCCCCAGTGCTGCCACTTCCCACAAAGATCTTCCCATCGGCCATGAGGCTCACCCGTTCCGTTCCACTGCAGTAAGACTTGGACATCCCTTCGGCATCGAGCAGCAGGCACTCTCCAGAGGGGGAGTTTCCCAAGGGCTCAGGGAGAAGAGGAAGAGCCTGCCCATCTGCCGGCTGTGTGAGGGTCTCTGGGTTAGTGCCCAAGATATCAGTGCTGGTGATGAGAGCGCCTGCATTGGCAGCCAGAGCTTCTGCAATCAGCACCTCAGGATGGCTTTTTGCTTTGTGCGCCACCACGCTGTCTTTCTTCTCAAATTTTTTGCCACAGATATTACAAGAGAACTGGTAGAAGGAGTCTGCGTCATGCTTCTTCATGTGCCAATTCAGGGATGCCTTTTGCCGACAAGTAAATCCACAGATCTCACATCTAACAAGTGTAGAAGAAGAAATGGTGAATCAAACAGGGAAACCAAAAGAACTCTTATTTGGTGATATTTTAGAGCTCAGATACGAATATGTAAGCAATAACCAGTAACCTATATAGCTTGTTAAGAATTAGAAAAAAACTACTTTGAAGAAAAATTAACCGACTGCTTTCCTTCTGCTTGCTTGGTAAACAAAGGAAAGAAGATCTCTCTCAATTGATATCTACTTTTTAATTTGGTAAAATCCAACAGTGGTGACAACTGAAATATTTGTACAGGCACAAAATGTCAAACAAGTCCTATCCTCTTCTTCCCCTGACGGTCAGTGGTAAATAAACACTCACTGTAATGGCTTCTCGCCAGTGTGAATCATCCGGTGCACTGCCAGATTATGCGAACTCTTGAAGGCCCGAGCACAATATTCACAGATGTAATCCCTTTGATCTAAGAAGAAACACAATGCGGTTATTAGGAGTTTATTTAGAAATCGTCTTAGTATTTTTTCTAGTTAATAAGTAAACGGTCAGGTAGGTAAATTTAGACTGAACGTCACTGAAGAAAAGGGGCTCAAGTACATATTTGTTGAGGGAATGTGTCCACTATACTTTCTTTCACTTAAAATTACTAAAACTAACAGAAAAACCTTAAGTTAAAAGGTGAATAATATTCAATTTAATCCCATCCTCTTTTCAAAGATGTAGAAGCCAAATGTGGGAAAAGAGTCGTTTCTGTCAAACTTGAAATGTACTCAAGAGTCACATGGGGATCTTACTGCTGCACATATGGAATACTGTGTGTTAAGTATTGTACAACATGACCCTTATGACAACTCTTCGTACCTGATTTCTCAGGTCAGGTCACTTTTCCAGCAATAGCTAGACCAGCAAACCTGGGAGGGGCCTATGTGACACATAGTAAGCAATGCAAAGAATACATGTACTGCACTGAGATTGTCAGTGGCTATAAACAAGTGGCATTTAAAACCATTCTATGACATGTATTTTCAAAGACAGTTTCTCTCTGTTTTTGTCACCAATTCTTACAGGAGTATACAAGAACATTATAACGACTAGCCTTGATGATTTCAGTAACAGTAGCTGTCCCACTTGTCATAGCAGTTTGTCATACTGTGGTGGCTTGTGAGTTGCTGTGATTCTGAAAGCTATGCCACCCGTATTTTAAATACCAGCAGGGTCACCCATGGTGCACAGGTTTCAGCTGAGCTTCCAAACAAAGACTACCAAGAAAGAGTGACGAACTATTTCCGAATATTTAGTCACTGAAATCCTTATAAATAGCAGAGAAACACTGTCAGATACAGTGCCGGAAAATGAGCCCCTCAGGTTGGAAGGTACTCAAAATGCAACTGGGAAAGAGCTGCCTCCTCAAAGTACAGTTGACCGTGATGACGCAAATGGAGTAAAGCCCATGGGACCTTTATTTGCTGATGGGCCACAACTCAAAATGAAGAGAAGCAGCTGTAAACATCCACTGAAAATCGGAACATGGAATGTACAAAGTATGAATCTGGGAAAATTGGAAGTTGTCAAAAATGAAATGGAACGCATAAACATAGATATCTTAAGCATTACTGAGCTGAAATGGACTGGTAGTCGCCATTTTGAATCTGACAACCACATGATTCACTATGCTGGGAATGACAAGTTGAAGAGGAATGGTGTTGCATTCATCGTCAAAAAGAACATATCCAGATCAGTCATGAGGTACAATGCTGTAAGTGATAGGATAATATCCATGTGCCTACAGGGAAGCCCAGTTAATACCACTATTGTTCAAATTTATGCACCAACCACTAAAGCCAGTGAGTATGAAATAGAAGAATTCTACCAACTTCTTCAATCTGAAATTGATCAAACATGCAATCAAGATGTATTGATCATTACTGGTGATTGAAACGCCAAAGTTGGGAGCAAAGAGGAAGGATCAGTAGTTGGAAAATATGGTTTCGGTGATAGAAATGATGCTGGAGAACGCATGATAGAATTCTGCAGAATCAATGATTTGTTCATTTCAAATACCTTCTTTAGACAGCATAAGAGACAACTATACACATGGACCTCACCAGATAGAATGCACAGAAATCAAATTGACTACATCGGAGGAAAGAAATGATGGAAAAGCTCCATCCATATCATTAGTCAAAACCAGGCCAGGGGCAGCCTGTGGAACAAACCATCAATTATTCATATGCAAATTCAAACTGAAGCTGAAGAGAATGAAAGCAAGTCCACGAGAGCCAAAATAATGACTCTGAATATATCCCACCTGAATTTAGAGAGCATCTGAAGAACAGATTTGATACATTAAACACTAAAGACCGAAGACCAGAAGAGTTGTGGGATGACATCAAGAACATCATACATGAAGAAAGCAAAGTCACTGAGAAGACAAGAAAGAAGGAAAAGGTCAAAATGGATGTCATAAGAGACTGAAATTGCTCTCCAGTGTAGAGATGCTAAAAGCGTATGGAAGAAATGAGGAAGTACAAAGATGAACAGAAAATTTCAAAGATCAGCTCGAGAAGATAAAAGCTAAATATTACAACAAAATGTGCAAAGATCTGGAATCAGAAAACCAAAAAGGAAGAACACGCTCAGCATTTCTTAAGCTGGGGGAACTGAAGATAAAATTCAAGCCTCAACTTTTATTATTGAAAGATTCTCTGGGCAAATTATTGAATGATGCACAAAGCATCAAGAGAAGATGGAAGGAATATACAAAGTCACTGTACCAAAAGGAAATGGTTGATGTTCAACCGTTTCAAGAGATAGCATATGATCAAGAGCCAATGATACTAAAGGAGGAAGTCCAAAGTACACTGAAAAAATTGGCAAAGAACAAGGCACCAGGAATTGATGAAATAAAAATTTAAATCTTTCAAGAAAGTTGAGGTGGCACAGAAGGCACTCACTCATCTTTGCCAAGAAATTTGGAAGACCACTATCTGGCCGACTGATTGGAAGAGATCTGTATTTGTGCCCATTCCAAAGAGATGGGACCCAACGGAATGTGGCAATTCATTGGACAATCTCTTTGATATCCCATGCGAGTCAAGTTTTACTAAATACAGAAAAGGCTGCAAGCATACATTGACAGAGAACTTCCAGAAGTTCAAGCTGGATTCAGAAGAGGCCGTGGATCGAGGGATATCATTGCTGATGTCCGATGGATCTTGGCTGAAAGCAGAGAATATCAGAAAGATGTTTACCTATGCTTTATTGACTATGCAAAGGCTTTCTTTCTATTATTGTGTGGATCATGACAAGCTATGGACAGCATTGCGAAGTATGAGTATTCCGGAACACTTAATTGTGCTCATGAAGAATCTCTACCTGGACCAAAAGGCAGTTGTTCGAATAGAACATGGGAACACTGAATGATTTGTATTCTTTCACCATACTTATTCAACCTGTATGCTGAGCAAATAATCCAAGAAGTTGGATTACATGAAGAAAAACGTGGCATCAGGATTAGAGGAAGACTCATTAACAACCTGCGATATACCAATGATACTACCTTGTTTGCTGAAAGTGAAAAGGACCTAAAATACTTACTGATGAAGATCAAAGAGCACAGCCTTCCGTATGGATTGCATCTCAACGTAAAGAAAAAAATCCTCACCACTGGACCAATAAACAACAATTTATCAACGGAGATAAGATTGAAGTTGTAAAGGACTTTATTCTTCTTGGATCAACTATCAACACTCAAGGAAGCAGCAGTCAAGAAATCAAAGGACATATTGCACTAGGCAAATCTGTTGCACAAGACCTTTTTAAAGTGTTGAAGAGCAAAGGTGTCTGTCAGCTTGAGGACTAAGGTGTGCCTAACCCAAGCCATGGTATTTCAGTAACCTCAAATGCATGCGAAAGCTGTACAGTGAATAAGGAAGACTGTAGAAGAATTGATGCTTTTGAGTTATGGTGTTGGAGGAGAATACTGAAAGTGCCATGGGCTGCCCATAGAACTAACAGATCTGTGTTGGAAGAAGTGCAGCCAGAGTGCTCCTTGGAGGCCAAGATGGCCAAACTTTGTCTCTCATACTTCGGACATATTATCAGGAGGGATCAGTCGCTGGAGAAGGATATCATGTTTGGTAAGGGGGAGGGTCAGAAAAGAAAAGGAAGACCCCCAGTGAGATGGATTGGCCAAGTGACAGTATCGATGGACTCAAGCGTGGCTACAGTAGTGAGGTTGGCCCTGGATCAGGCAGTGTGTCGTTCTGCTGTGCATAAAGTTGCTATGAGTCGGTGCTGACTCAATGGCACCTAACAACAACAAGATGTGGCAGGCACTATTTAGAGGTTATCACATACTACATGCAACCCTGCCACCTAGGCAAAAGAGGATTACTCTCCCCACCTCTTCTCCACTTTTAGTACATAACAGTTATTACTACAAGTACAACCAAAAGCAGAATTCGAAAATGCTAGTTTTGCTAAAAGCTCGCTGTGTGACCATTACTTAACATTGCCAAGTCTCCGGCTTGTTAGCTGCAAAACAAGATTACTAGAAGCAAATTCTGTGGTGTTGCAGGGGTTGAATAGTCCTAACATATGTAACGTGTGTAGCCCACTGCTGACACAGATTATGTGCTAAATAAAGCATCATTGTACAGGTCATTTAAGTTCTCAAAGGAGTCAAAAGTTACAATGTTCAAAAGCCCAAGTGTTCATCCTTTGAAAATTTTCTATTCTATTTTCCTACTTTTCTCCCACATTTGGCTGCAAAGTCTTTTATGAATAATTATTTAAAAAAACAAATCTCAACTAAATAGCAACCTGCACACCTTCACTACAGTGCATCCACATGTTTGAGATAAACTTTCTATCCTTAAAACGTACCTGTATGATGTTTGGCATGCCGTAAAAGTTGCTTCTGGAGCCTGAAGAGTCGTCCACAGGAGGGATGAGGACATACATATTTTTTCTTCAGCAAATGCTGATATTTAATGTGGTGCTAAAACAGTAAAAGAAAGTGAAAAGGGTTAAAAATTAAGATTTCCTGAAAGTTCTTTTGTTTGCAGAATCAAAACTGCAAAAGGAAAAGCAAACATCTTATATTATGTTAGGAAGGCAGTGTATTTTGATTAAGAATACAGACTCTGATAATATCATATGGAGTCCTGGGGTGGCACTGTGGGTTAGAGCGCTGGACTACACGGTCGGTTTGAACTGAAGCTCACCAGCCACTCCTTGGAAACCCTATACCGGGGGTTGCTCTGAGTTGGAACTGACTTAACAGCACTCAACAACGACAACATTCCAATCTAGGACTACTGGTGTGGTTCTGTAGGATCATCACTGGATTGTGAACCATAGGTCAGCAGTTCAAATCCACCAGAACCCTATACAGGGTTGCTGAGTCACAACCGACTTGATAGCACCTAAAACAACAACCTTCTAATCTTGGTCGGCCATTCCTAAGCATAAAAATCTTGAGGTTGTACTTAGAAACAGTTTTAAGCTTTAATTCTCATTTCTGAAATGGGGGTAAAAACACTATCTCATTGTGTTTTTGTGGTGATCCAGAGATCATATGTTGTACCATGTTTAGCTGACACAAAGTAAAAGGATCATTATTTTAACAAAATCAGAATACAAAAGACAAACTCTAGTCTCCGGTTGTTATTGTAGGTGAACTAAAAATCAAGGACTTCCTGAACTTTATTGTTATTCTTAGGCGCTATCATAGCGACATAGTGACCCTACGCATACACTGCCCAGCCCTGCGCCATCCTCACAATTGTTAAGTTTCAGCCCTCTGTTGCTGCCTCTGTATCAGTCAACCTCATTGAAGGTCTTCATCTGTTTCAGTTAACAAGCAGATGTCCTTCTCCAAGGACTGGTCTGTTCTGATAACATATCCAAAGTATGAGAGTTTAAGTCTCACCATTTTAGCTTCTAAGGAACATTTTAGCTGTATTTCTTCCAAAACAGATTTGTTCTTCACCAGCATCAAAATTCAAAGAAAGGGGTCAATTCTTCTCCGGGGCTCCTTATTCACATGCATGTGAGGCGATTGGAAATGTTATAAACCCTTGGTTCTTGGGTCAGGCATTGGTATTTTTGCTCTTTATCATATTAAAGAAGTTCTTTGCAGCAGACTCACCCAATGACATGTCGTCTGATTTTTCCACTGCTGTTGTCATGAGCATTGACTGTGGATCCAACAACAAATAAATGCTTTACGACTTCAAAAGTTTCATTTTATCGTGATGTAAAACTGGTCGTTGCAAGGATTTTTGTTTTCTTTACATGATTCTATTATGAAATGTTGTAGTCTTTGATCTTTATCAGTTAAGTGCTTCAAAGTCCTCAAGATTTTCAGCCAGCAAGATTGTATCACCTGTGTATCACAGGTTGTTACTGAGCCTTCTTCCATCCGGAGGCCACATTTCTTCTTCATATAGCCCAGCTTCTTGGATTATTCACTCAGCACACAGATTAAGCACGGTTAAACAACACAAACCTAATACACACCTTTCCTGATTTTTACACTATTCAGTGTCCCGTCCCTTTGTTTTGTTCTAAGGACTGGCTCTTAATCTATGAACAAGTCCCACATGAGCACAATTACGTGTTCTGGAATTCCCATTCTTCAGAATGTTATCTTACATTTTGTAACAAGTTACACAGATGAATGCCTTTACATAGTTAATAAAATACTTCTGTTTTATTAAACACAAGTAAACATCTTTCTGGTATTCTCTGCTTTCAGCCAAGATCCAGCTGACATCAACAATGGTACATTCTCTTCTGAATCTAGCTGGAATTTCTGGCAGCTCCCTGTTGATGTACTACTGTTGCAATCATGTTTGAATGATCTTCAGCAAAACTTTACTTGAGTGACATTAATGATATTGCTTGATAACTTCCCACATTCTTTCTGATGTGTTACCTTTTTTTTCTGGTAAGGAAAGAAATACATATGGATCATTTCCAGTTGGTTGGCCAAGAATCTGTCTTTCAAATTTGTTATAGACTAGTGAGTGCTTCTAGTGCTTCATCTGCCTGTTGAAACATTTCAGTTGCTATCATCAATTCCTGGAGCTTTGTTTCTTGCCAATGCAGCTTGGTCTTCTTCCTTTAACACCATGGATTACTGTTCCTATTTCACTTCTTTGAAACTTTAATAATCACTGTATCACCTTCATGGTTTTTGCCAGACCCAGATGTAGACTGTACCTTTATTCACTTAAAACAACAAAAAATATATTTTATTCTTTCTAAATAGGTGTTTTATTCTACTGTACAAAGGGTCAATATGAGTTGGAACTGATTTGCTGGCATCTGACAGCAAATAGTGTCCAAAAATCATTGGTCTGACTTGCCAATTTTACCTTTTTTCTAATACACATTAATAAAATCTCTCACAGAGTCTTGGTGATCTCTTCCGAGCATCACCTAGCTTACTAGAAGGATTTAAGCCTCACTGGGATTTTCCAAGAGTCCAAGGAAGTCATCAATTTGGGCCTTGATTTCTAAGTCACTTCTAATATGACTGAAGTGACTGCATCTTGAAAGAAAAACTTCCTTTACACCTCTTTCACCTGTGTTCTTATAAAAAACCACAGGGCCTACGTCAAGCCCACAAATTTCTAGTATGATGAAGTATGGAAACTAGTAATAAAATAACCCTGAAAGGCTGCCTAGTCCAATGCCATCACTAACCTGCAGATAGCGTGGGTGCGCAAGCACAGTTCCACATCCTTCCATCTCACAACGGACATACTGAATCGGAGGCTTTTTTCTATTATTAAAATGAATAAGAAAAGTTAGCAATGGAAAGGTGGTGACTGGAACAGTGACCTTTAACTACAACTGCAGTATAGGGAATAGCTATTCCAAACTATGAAGAATTTCAACACTTTACTTTAGAGAATTTGTTAAAATTACCAAATGATTGGTAGGATTAAAAACACGTAAACATAAAAACACAAATGAATTAAAAAGGAGTCTCAGCCATCAAGATAAATTTCAAATAAGAGACACCCTATGGACAGAGGACAGAGGACAGCTCCCCCTCCCACTCCCCAGGCTCAGGGTTCCCAAGACTACAAATGGACAGAAGCAGACCGCCTCGTCTTTCTCCCATGGAGTAAGCTGGTGGGTTCAATGTGATCTACTGGTTAGCAATCGAGCGCTTAACCAACATGCCACCAGGGCTCCTACTAGCAAACCTCGAAAAAGCAAAGACGAAGTATTAAAATGTTTGGAAACCTCATGATTCTACAATGGACATGAAAATGTACAAGCTTGAGTCAAGGCATTAATGAAATCGCTTTTGTGAACCTTTTCAATAGCCATCCCTCACAAGATTATTACTTCAGAATTAGCACCACAAAGAGGGCACAAAACAGTATTAAGTTACTCACCTCCTTTTGGGTAACCGGGGACTTTTGTCGTCTTTTCGCCTTCTTCCTCTCCTGTAAGTAAAAAACAAAGTAACAAAATATGTCCACATACTCCAGACTGAAGCTTACAGAGTGAAGTATGGCTAAAGACACAATCAAGATCTAAGTACAGGTGGTATATATGAAGGCTATCCCAGAATACCTAGAGCCAAAGAAACATTTGGCAAAGCAGGCAAACACTTCACTCTGAAGTAGTTTCACTTTCAGATCAGCCTGTTGCAGTTGCTAAGTGACAGAAATCATCTGACTCAGTGACCTTGTATAGGGTTTCCAAAAAGTGGTTTGGTAGCCTTGAACCATCAGTGTTTTTCCCACAGTGCCAAACCAGGACGCCTGAAGTGCATGCGAAATATGCTTTATAGACTAGGCAATACATGGAAGATTTGGACACACCTCAAGAATTGTTACACTGAAAGGTCTAATGCCTAAATTTAGTCAAACAGAAAACAGAAAAATCTACTATTTAAAACCTCAAAAATATAAACTATACTGTGCTTTCAACAGAACCAGAAATACACTTAAATCTTATTTCTGCAACCATTAATGGTTGCCAATCAGAAAGTTTTGACCTAAGACTAGCACATCATTTGCTGTACCTTACTATTCCTTTGAGGATCCCCATTTGCCACACTTTTTCTTGTAGTCTCTTATCCTTGCATCCCTATAGCCAGTGTCTTCCCTGCGCATTTGGAGACAAAATGGCTAAACGCTCACTGCTAACCAAAAAGGTTGGTGGTTTAAACCCACCAGCTGCTTCGTGGGGAAAACAATCTGGCAGTTTGCTTTCATAAACGTTGTTATATGCCGTTGAGTTTGGTCCAACCCATAGCGACCCTGTATAGGGTTTCTGAGGAGCGGCTGGTGAGCTTGAGGTTCAAACTGACTTTACAGTCCAGTGCCACAGCAGGACATTAGAGCCTTGGAAATCCTGTAGGGAAGTTCTATAGTCCCGATGAGTCAGACATGACTTAACAGAATACAACATGCATTGCTTAGATTTAAAATGTTACTTTTCAGGTTCCTTAAGAGTCTCAACTGCTTGAAGCCAAATTTTTCAAGTATAATAAGTACTTTCAAGGATGTACATATATCACCACACTTCCCCAAACTGCCATTATCTTTTCCCTCAATAGCTTCAAAGTCTCTGCTCCATCGCCATTCATTTAAAAAAAGCATTAATTGTCTACTCACTTTCTAGGAGGCTCCTCATCCTCCCTAATTTCATTTTCTTCTTCCTTCACTTCTACCTCTACTTCCACTTTAATTTCTTTCTTCTCTTTTTCTTCTTTGACCTTCCCTGATCTTCTCCGTGGCTTTGGGGTTTCTCTGAAAGCACAAATACATTCCAGGTTTGGTATAAAGCAAAAGACCTTCTCAAGGAAAACTATAGTCACAAGATAAAGCTTAGGGATACAAGTATCTCTGACTTACTATAAATTATCCTCAGCTCAAAAACTGTAATGGCGTGCTAATTATTCCAAACATACATATAGTAACGATATATAATAACGCCCATGGATGACCCCCAGGCAAAACATGCCTGAGAATCAATTCACCACGGCTGTAAAGAGAAACAAGAGAATAAGTAAAAAATTCTAAGTATTCAGGCAGTTCATGATGCTTTAAGATAAGACATGCAAGCACCATGATTTGGCTACAAACAAAATGATATTCTGTAAGTAGGAGAGAACTGTTGAGTAGGTATTAATGGATCAGATCACATTAGATCTGTAAAACAGATGCATAGCTCATTTAAAATTAAGTCTATACCCATGAGTGAGGCCACAAGATGTAATAAACACATGCAACAATGCTTACTGACTCAATTTTCACTGGCTTGCCAGAGACATTACATATTTGAGACTTGCCTTTCTAAGTGGGGTTTGTAGGTCTCATCTCTTGGGTCATCTTTGAATGGTATTTCCTCTTCACTGATTAACATCTCTTCTTCCTCCTCTTCCTCTTCACTACTAAACGGAGCAAACAGATGAGAGATTCTAGCTGTGACAGTCACATCTAACAGGATTTTATTTAGTAACTTACTTATAAAGTGGTATCCAGAATCACAGTAGGCCACAGGATTTTCATCATTCTGATCTAGCTGGACTGCAATCTAGCAGCTTTAATCTAAATTATAATTGGAACCAAAAAACACAGATCCTAGGTATGTTGTCACTTCACTAAAGGTTGTTATTAGATGCCATCAAGTCAGTTCAGACTCAAGAGTGACCTTAAGCACAACAGAACGAAACACTGCCCACTCTTACTCCATCCTCACAATCGTTAAGCTTGAACTGACTGCAGCTGCCACTGTACTAATTCATCTTGTTGGGGGTCTTCCTCTTTTTCATGGACCCTCCACTTTACCCAGCATGATGTCCTTCTCCAGGGGCTGGTCCTAGCTGATAATATGTCTAAAGTTATGAGCAACGATGATTACTTATTAACACTAAAAGTTAAATACTAACTTGACAGCACTATGTCTAAGATTCTACTGTATCAAAAAAGATCCATCAACAGACAAAAATTATTTATCACAGAAGATACTGATTAAATTTCAAAGCAATGCAAACTCTCACATTTCACATTAGCGTTCTACAAGGAAAAAGCCAGAACATACGGGGTATAAAACATGTTTCTGCATGAACGAAGAGTACATGATGGAAGTTTTCATCAAGGTTTAGGGTTGAATCTAAACTGAAAACTAAAATTGAATCAGCTAAGAGCAAGGCAGATTTGTAGAGTTCTGGTGTGGCACTGTGGGTTAATGCACTAGATTGCCAGGTCAGTCTGAACCGCAAGGTTGGCAGTTGAAGCTCACCAGCTGCTCCTCAAAAACCCTATATACAGGGTGCTAGTACTCAGAACTGACTTGACCGCACTTAACAACAAAGGTAGACTCCTGGTGTGGCGCTATAGGATCAGCACTGGACTATGAACCACAAGGTCGGCAGTTCAAACCCACCAGTTGCTCCTCAGAAACCCTACACGGGGTTGCTATGAGTTTGAACTGATTCGATGGCACTTAACAACCACAAGAACAGGTTAATCTGTTATAGCTCAAGATTCTTTCACGTGGGGAACACACTTCTTTATCGTTTAATATGACTATGCTTTATGGCTCCACACGTTTAAATATGAACTGTAAGATTTCTTACCTAATGCCACCCAGAGACTGATGCTCTTCTGCAACATCTGAATAAAATAAACAAAAATATTAATTTTAAAGTCTCCATCCTTAGGGATTAATATTTTGTCTTTGCACCGGAGAGTGAAACCAAATCACTACCTGGGTTATATAAATGAGACTTAAGACTATCTACAACTGTCCAAAAACCTCTAAACCAAGCAAAACCCATTCTAGACCACTACACTAAATACAAGAATACATTACTTTACCTGCTCAACATTACAGGTTAGATTGTAATCATTGCAATGAAACGATGAGTGTAAAACCAATGTTCTCCCATGTAAACCATCACTCAATTCACAATAAAAACTTAAAAACAAAAAACAAAAAAACAAACCAGCAGGTTATTGGTATCCATGCACTATTTTTACTCTACCATAATCAAGCGGGTCTGTGTTTGGTTCGGACTTGCAGATGAGCTGCAATGAACCTGTCTTGGACCTAGAACTTCGGGTGTTCTCTGTGTCTTGATGGCGAGAGGCAGCTGTCCTGCTACTACTGCGCCAGCCCCGGGTAGGCCGCGTTGAAATGGAGATGTCCTGAGGGAGGGTAGAATCTTCTTCTTCCTCTTTCTCCTCCTTGGGACCTAGATGAAAATACACAGCACTCATGTTTAGTTTATACTTAACCAATCTCTATATATGAAGGTGAGCCAAATTGTCCACACTCTGGCTGTAGAATTTACTTTCATCCACTTTTAGAAGACACAAATGTATCGTTTTTGACAGAATCTCCTTGCTTTTACATTTTTTTTTGTCCGTTTGTAAACAAGTTTTCATATTCCCTTATTTGAAATGTTTTTAGGCTGAACTGTGAGTTACGAATGCACCACTGCCTTCATTTCTTCATCAAAGGTGAAGAGCTTGCTTTCAGAGGACCAAACAGATCTAAGTCCCGATGGAGCAAGATCAGGACTACAGGGAGTGTGCTTTAACACCTTAAAATAAAGTTTTTGCAGATGCCAAGAGTGTGGGCAGAGGTGTGTGGAAGTGCAATGTCATGCAAGATCACAACACCCTTGGATAGCAGTTCTCTGCATTTAATCTGAAATTTTGCTTCAGCTCTTCAGTGAGCATCTTATTGTAACAAACACTGTTGATTATTAAACCTTTTTCCTGGTAGTGTTTCAATAATGGCCCTTGAGAATCCCAGAAAACTGTAAAGCATCAATTTTCCAGCTGGTGAATGACTTTTGAACTTTTTCTTGGTGGGCTATTGAGGCTGGTTCCATTCCATACTATCGCTTACTCTCAGACTTGTAGTGATAAATTCGTCTTAACGATGTTTTTCTAAGCAATTATTTACCTCCCTTCAAATGCAACTTTTGTTTGCAGATGTCCAATCACTTCTGTTTATGCTCTTCTGTGAGCTGTGTTTCGGTACACATATCACACAAACTTTTCAAAACTCAAGTCCTACGCAGAGCCATGGATGATTTGCAAATGATCTGCCACATAATCCAGTCACTCGTCTATTTGACACAATCACTTCAAATGCACACTCAAAATTGTCATCAGTTGTAGAGGTGGATGGGAGTTTTAATTTACCTGCACTGTGGATAATTTTTGACTTACCCTCAAGCTTACTGGAGTCCTGGTGAGTTGCTGAAGAATAAGCACTGGACTGCTAACAAAGAGGCTAGTGGTTCAAACCCAAAAGCCACTCCTTGAAAGCCCTATACAAGGGTTGCTATGAGTCAGAACTGACTCGAGGAAGTAACAATATATTTACTAATGTCAACAGTCAACGAAAACTTTCATAATTATTCAGGGATAGAAACAAACAGGTTTTCTACTAAAATAACGGGAAAAAAGGTGTAAAAAAAATTACATAAATCTTTGCTATTCTTTCTCTAAATACATCGTGCTACAAAATAATTTTATATGGCTCAATCTACTAAAACTGCAACCATAAGTAGGTGAAATATATCCAGTGATTCAATTCAGGAATTCTTACCTTTAGTTCTAACATAAAACAAAACAGGAACACAAAACCTAATTAGTAAATAAGATGACTGGACCTACAGAGGCATGGAAAAAGAAGCCTTGGATCTAGATGCATTAACCACCAAAGAATGCAACAGGGTATTGCTGTAAGAAGAATTCTATAATAGGAATGTCTTCCTCCCTTGACTGTATTCAGAAGGTTTTACTTAGGGCTTACACCATGAATTTTAATTCACCTCAAAAGCATCCCCTGGCGAACTTGAAACTCTGCTGTAGTATTTTAGTTTCTCTATGAGTGTGCACTTCAGCAAACTACCAGGTCTTTCTTTTCTCCTGCACACGGGCTGGTGGGTTCAAGCTACCAACCTTTAATTAGCAGTCAAGCACTTAACACACTGCAATACCAGTGGATGACATGTTAAGAGTCATATCCTACACCAACAGTTCCTTCCACAAAACAAGATACCTCTTCAATCCAAAGCTAGTCTGTCTCATGACGCCGTATGTTATACAACTATTACATGGAGTTTTCTTGGATTGTCAGACCTTTCTTCTGTGGAGCCATGGGGTTGATGTGAACCACCAACTTTTAGCAACTGAGTGCAAACTGGGACAAAAAGCCAATGCCCTATAACAGAGGTACCCTGTGACAATTCCTGAAACTTCAATCATGGAAGTTCCACGTCCTTCTCTCTTTGCTCTGTACCCTTCCCTACAAGTCAACACTAGATTGAACAGATTTTATACTGTACAGTGCTCAATACAGAAATCACGATTCCTGATAATCATGTAGATCAGTGAAATCAAGAACAGAAAGATACAACTGTATACAGGGTTTCTGAAGAACCTACTGGTGGCTTTGAACCACCAACTTTTCAGTTAGCAGTCGCAGTGCTTAGCCTACAATCACTCCACCAGTAGTACTCCAGCTCCTCCCACTGAAGAAGAAAATCCATGTACCCAACTCATACGCTAAGGAGTTCTAGTTGTGTGGTGCAAAGCTGTAAACGAAACCCCACCAGTCGGCACTCCTTGGGAGAAAGATGAAGTTGTCAGTCCCCATAAAGACTGACAGTTTGGCAAACCCTAAGGAGTTCTCCTCTGTCCTATAGAGTTGTCACAGCAGGAAGTGAGTGGATGGCAGTGGGGGTTTGTTTTGTTTTGTTTTTCAACCCATAAACCTTTTGACTTCAACACTGCAAATCTGACACTGCCAATGCCTTGTGCCTTCAGTCTTTCTGAATGTTGTTCTACGGCAAGCATGATATGAAGAAGCCTGAATTGAAGACCAAAGATGTAGGAATGAACCAACCAATAATAACATCTTTCTATTTTAAAGTCACTAAGTTTTTGGGAAGACTCTACGGAGGGACACAGTAAAGAGGCAAAGTTATGTACAAATTCTGTAAACAAGTGAGGATACAATTGGAAGAAACAGGCAGTTTAACAAGGTTGGCAGGTAGAAGGCATGACCACAGTGCTCTTTAGGAGAATTAACTGAACTGAAGCTAATGGGACCTTTACCTGGATGCAGTTGTTGTTGTTAAGTGCCGTCGAGTCAGTTCTGACCCATAGCGACCCTGGTATAGGGTTTCTGAGGAGCAGTTGGTGAGCTTGAACCACCGACCTTGCAGTTCAAATGGCTTTGCAGTCTGGTGCATTAATCCACAGCACCACACCAGGACTCCTGGATGCAGTTAGATCTCGGAAATTTTAATTTAGGAGTTTGGCCATTCTTGAACTTCAAGGCTCCAGGGGCATTAAGCCAGAGCCAATTCTTTTTTGTCAACTCAGGCTCATTTCAGCGTGAGGTTAGCTAAGCTTTCATTTCATGTACACTTGCATCTCTTTTACAGGTTTCAGGTTCTTATCGGCTAAATAACGGTTTCCCCACTCAGGACCTTGGTTTCTGCTGCTTTTGTGTTTCTTCCACCTGGACTTGCTGCTATAGCTCTTTAAGTGATTCCGTTAGGGAAAGGCGTCTTAGGTCTATCATAAATTAGACATGTCTCTCTTCTTCCAGGAAACTAGAACAAGAGGAAGAATCGTAATAGGTCTCAAAGTCTGAAGCATTAGAAAAATGGTTTCAAGGATCTGGGGCATTAGCAACATGGAACAAGGATGTCTAAGTAGATCACTCTCATGGTACTGAGGAAAAGAATACGTATAGTTCCTGCTACCTTAAGATAAAGAGCTGGTAAGAAAAGGGCCAGATAAAATGCTTATCTAATGTATTACCAAGGAGCTCTGGTAGCGTAGTGGTTACCAATCGGGCTGCGAACCTTAAGGCCAGCAGTTCGAAACTACCAGCTGTTCCGCGGGAGAAAGATGAGGCGTTCTGCTCCCATAAAGATTTACGGCCTTGGAAACCCTGTACAGGGTTGCTATGGGTTGGAAACGACTCGACGGCACTTAACAACAACAACAATGTACTACCAGTGGTTCTATGAGAGAAACTTGAGGCTTTCTGCTCCCATAAAGATTTACAGCCTCGGAAACCTGTATAGGGTCGCTATGGGTTGGAATCTACTCCAAAGCACTTAACAACAAAAATGCACTCTCAGCCCTCTGTGGCATGAATACTGTACACTTCTGTTTCTGAACCCCAACTATCTAGTTTTTGTATTTCTATAATTATCTTCACTTTGTTTTCCATAATCAGTATGTATATTAGCCAATCTTAGCAGTTTTAAGAAAAGTCAGGTTAAGAGTTCTCTTTTCTTTTTTGCTCATTTATTTGTACTTAAGCCAGTTTTAGAAAATTACCAGCTCATTTGTGGAAAGCATTTCAGCTGAAAATGAGAGCCAATGTGAGAGTTAAGATTGAATGTATATATGCATCCTTTTCATCTATTTTTCCTTCTAGAGCTCTTTTCTATTTAAAAATATGACTTCATTTTAACTGGTTTACCATGTCATCTTTAAGGAGACTCAGAATCTTTCAAGAAAGAATTGTGAAGACAATGTTCTGAATGCCTTCTCACATAGTCTTCTTTGTAAAGAATGGCAACAACTACAAAAATTAGATTTCCTCACGTGAGTGGGGGGAAAAAGGGTGGGAGTACCGGTTCTGTATCTTCAAGAACATATACAAGTATTGTTTAATGATACTGGAAATGAGATATCTGTAAAGGAAAGTTGAAACAGTTAAAGTTATGAGGTGTTGATGTTGCAACAAGATCTTGGCAGAGATGAATATGATATAACAGACAGATTTAAGAGGATAAGAGATAACCAAAAGTATTTCAACAGAGCGGGGAAAATACTGTTTCAAGTAAGACTTTTAAAAAGAAGGAAAAGTCTTAGAGACATAATCTAGAACTTGTTTTGCTGTTAAGTGCCGTGGAGTCAGTTCCTACTCATTGTAACCCTGTATAGGGTGTTCCTGAGGAACAGCTGGCGAGTTTGAACCACTGACCCTGCAGTTCAAAACCGACCTTGTGCTCCAGTGCATTATCCCACAGCGCCACACCAGTGCTCCGATTATAACTAGAGAAAAGTCAAAGCCATAAATAGTTTTAGTAAAATCCCAGAGCTATTATGAACTCATTTCCTGTCTAGGCAATCTTTTCCAGACATCACTACTCTATAACAAAAATACCTGAAAAATAATAACATGATTCTGAATAAAAAGAAAGCCAAAGTGTAATACAATTAAAATTTCAAGCATCCAGGGTTATTATCAGGTTATGTTTCCCATAACTCTAAACTTATGAGATATACTGGGGGGCGGGGGAGAGGAAATCTAAGCAAAGTTAGGTACCTGCTGCATATTTTGGCATTCACATTGCATATTAATCAAAATTAAAGTCTTTGAGAAGTCCTATGATAAATAATCTACCTTTTATGACTCAAAAACACTGTCCACATTTATCTAACTCTTATATAGAATCTCCTTTTTTTATCTTGATGGGTGGGTTTAATTATTTATGACAAAGGTACCAGCAGATTAGTGAGAAAATACTAGCTGCATCATGCTAATATGTCTAGTTAGAAGTTTTAAAGTGAAGAAATGAAAATTAAAGTATTGCGTCACACTGAGGCTCTTAATAATTACATTTAGGTCAACTATTCCTTTACTCCATTAGCATGAATGTAACCCTAGTCCAAAACAGAGAGACCAGAATGAAAGCAGAAAGCTAAGTTAAAAAGTGGATGCTCCACAAGGATACAGATAAATTCTTTGACGGTGGTAAACCAAGTTTTCAAGTTGTAAGCTTTCTTCTTCTGTTTTCTGTGTCCAATGCTCCTTCCTCAGACATCTACCTGCAAAGCCGTTTTATTATCACTGTTCAGGACTCAAGTCAAATATCACCTCCTCAGAGAGGCCTTCCCTTGCCATCTTATCTAAACTTAGTCCCACCTGATCAATCATTTTATTAGCTTGTTTTAACATCTTCATTGCACTTCCCTGATTACCAGTATAATCCAGTGCCTAGAATGCTGATGGACAGAGTGGACACTCAACAATGACTTGCAGAATGAATAAACACTACTTTAGCAAAGACACATTAAATGTTTTATATAGAGAGTTAAATGGAGCCCTGGTGTGGTGCTGTAGGATAAGCACTGGACTGTTAACCAAAAGTTTGTTAGTTCAAACTTACCCTGTACAGGGTTACTATGAATTGAAACCAACTCAAAGGGAACTTAACATCAGTAACATTCAAAGTTAAATGAGCAAAACAGGGACCAATATCAATATTTCTTTACTATTATTTCAGCTGGAAAAAGGAATATGTCACTTTACAATTTAATAATTTCAGAGTAGTAGAAAGTTGTTTTGTGTATACAATATTGTTTGTTTAAACATGGCCAAGTATTTTCTTTTCAACTCGAAAAGTCCCCAAACCAAACCTGCTATCATCCAGTCATAGTGACCTCGTGTGCAGAGCAGAACTTATTTCCATGAGCTTTTATTGGCTGTGATCTTAACCGGAAGCAGACTGTGGCTGGCTGGTTTCAAACCACTCATCTTTATGTCAGTGTCTGTGTGCAAGCTTTTTTTGCCGCCCAAGGTCTTCAACTCAAGGAATTATATATACAATCTCAAACTTGGAATAAGCAAAAGTGAACAATCCCACCAAAACCTTTTCAGTATCAATAAAATGGGCAATTGTGCCTCTAAAAAAATATCCAAACCTATTCAGTTTTGGGAAAAAACCTTGTAATTGTAAAATGACAGTGAGTTATTTCAGTTAAAGTTCAACAGACTAAGCATGAAAGATTATTCCACAGAAAGACAGTAATTGTAAGGGCTTCATTAGGTTCGCTAATAAAGAAACGGGGGTAGGAGTTTGAAAATGCCCATTTCTTTAGCTGTTATAAACATCATCACTAAAATTCACTGCCACTGAGCCGATTCCGACTCTGAGCAACCAACCCTACACAGGGTTTCAAAGGCGGCAAATCTTGACAGGAGCAAAAAGTCTTATCTTTCTCCCTGAGCAGTTCGTGGGTACGAACTACCAACTTTTCAGTTAGCAATTCAGTGCTTATCTTACAGTACCACCACTCCTACCTTACTTACAAAGCAGCCACCAATTCAAGTTGTTGTTGTTGTTAAGTGCCGTCGAGTCGGTTCTGACCCATAGCAACCCTGTACAGGGTTTCCAAGGGTGTAAATCTTTACGGGAGTAGAAAGCCTTCAAGTTACTAGCTCCTAATCAGTCATTGGTCTACTACATGGCATAAAGTCATGGTTTTAAACTTGCTTTATATTTATGTACTTTTTAAAGTTTTTATTGTGAATTATATGATAAAGTACATGGGAGAATATTCGCTTTACACTCATTCTATCGTATTTTGTTTCATTGCAATGACTGCAATCCCCTCCCTGCATCATCAAACAACCAAACAGCATACCCCACAAGCCTGCCCCCCAGCCGTCAGCTCTCAGCCCCTCTCTGGGTCTAGAGTCCCCAGCCACTCCACCTCTCCATGTCTCTGCCTCCATCTCTGGTGTCACTGCTTCTATTCCACACTCCAATCTTCTCCCTTGATGGTCCCAGGGACCTCCGCTCCTAGACTGCAAAGTCAGCCACTCCCCTCCCTTAGTTACAAAATGTCTACCTTTACATTTCTAACCCCCACAGTCAGTCCTGATGACAATTATTCACTACTGTACCACAAGAGTCTTATCCCCAACTCCTTTCATCAGCCTCATCCAGAGAGGGTGGAAATCACTCAGTGGAGATTCTGCCTTCCCTCGTACCCTCTGTAACTAGGCTCCCTCTTGAAAGCTTATAAGTCAGTCACTTTGTGCCTTTGTAGCCCACTCATTTTGGGTAGCCAATGTCTAAGGTGCGTATCCCTGTTGACCCTGTGTACTGAGGAGGTGGGAATGATTCTCACTATAAAAATTTGTTCCCTCTTTTGAGCTACTACATCCATAAGTATAGGTCAAGTTCATCAAATTGTAGCAGATTACTCTTTTCCCCCTCTTCTTTCTTCTTCTAGTGGAGTTCTGATCATCCAGCCATCGAAGTCAGGTCAAGTGGGTACTATCTGCAAGTACGGGTGTTCTTGTGTATCTGCCCTCACTTCATATCAGCTGGATGCTTCACTCTCCACTCTAGTCCTCTGTGGCCATGTCCCTGTCTCTGGGCCCAGGAGTCCCCAGGTCTTGACATACTGCTGGCCAACCAGGTCTCAATCCGGGTTGACAGGAGTCTATCGAACGTTGTCAGGCTTCTTAAAGTAATTTTGACAAAGAAAAAGAAAAAAAAAAAAAAAAAACCCTTCATTTACAACACACACACACACACACACTCACAAACACATTTTTAAAGAAATAGTAGCACACCACCACAGAGTCGATTCCAACTTCTAGTGATCCTCTGGGACAGAATACACTAGCTCCCCCAACGGTTACTGAGGCCCTCAATCTTCACAGGCGCAGACAGTCTCATCTTTCTCTACAGGAATAGCAGCTGATGGGTTTGAACTGTTGACCTTGCATAACCCACTATACCACCAGGACTCCTAGCAAGTTATAAGTGGATCTTCAAAAAGCTAACTGTTCAGCTCCCAGTTATTACAAAGTGTATTTCAGGACTTGGAGGCTGGCTATGCAGATCTAGGTTAAGATTAGACATCAGTATTATGAGATATGCCTAAAAGAATATTTGCTCTAATTTAAAGGGTCCTGTGAGTTTGAATGCAGCATCAAAAAAACAAAGCCAAAAATCAGAAAAGGGAAAAAAAATGAGCCAGTAACTGATCCAACATGAGGGTGTAATGTTAAGAACTCAGAATCTGCAAAGTCTAAACACAGTGAAATAGTCTCTTAAGGTTCAAAATAATCCAGAGATGCAAAAGACTACATTAAAAATATATAAATATATATGGATATAGACAATTGGCATGCTTCAAATTCAATCTCTATAGAGAAATGACCTCATTTAATTTTTCACCTTCAAAGAATTTCTTTCTGCATTCTTTAAACTGCATTTATAATCTGAGCCTCTACCAGCGTCCTGGTATGGAGCTATAGCATAAACACTGGACCACGGGTCAGTTTGCACCACAAGCTTGGCAGTTCAAACCCACCAATAGCTCTTCGCAAACCCTATATAAATACACTGTGAGTTGGAACAGAGTCAACACCACTAAACCTTAACAAACAGCATCAATATTTTGTCTACACATAAATCCATACAGTATCATTCCTTTCTTTATCCCTTCATTAAAAACAAAACCAAAAACCCAACAACCATCAACAAGCAGCTCAAAAATTTGTCAACCAACTCAAACCACCTGAAATTTGTACGCACATCAAGACAGCCCTCTCTTCAAATCTGTCATCTAAATAACCTGAACCTACAATTCAGTAATTCTTTACTGAATAGAAGTCACTTTTAATGGAAACTAAACTGAGTTTATGTTGTTGTTGATAAGTACCATCAAGTAGATTTTGACCCATAGCAATAGGGTTTCCAAGAAGCAGCTTGAACCACCGACCTTGCAGTCTAGTGCATTAACCCACAGCGCCAGACCAGGACTCCGTAAATTGAATCATTAGATTGGCATTCATTCTTTTTATCAGATTATAAACAACTGTGGTAACAAAGTGGACCAAATCTTACCTTTATCCGTTGTTACGTTTTCTACGCATCTGAAAGAAATGAGAATCAAATATTAATTGAACACTCTTGTACATTTTCTTAAAATGCAAGTAATTACCTTTTTCAAGTAACAAGCTAATCTCCAGAATGATATACTCTAGCACACTGCTGTCCAACAGAACTTTCTGTGATAATGAACATCTGTATCTGAACTGTTCAATACGGCAGCCACATCAGACTACTGAGCACACCTGAACTAGGTGGTGTAATACAGACACTGCATTTTATTTTATGAATGCAAATCTACGTAGCTTGTGTGAGCTCTTTTATTTGACAGTGCAGAGATAGGAGTAGCATTTGAGACAGATTGTTTTCCTTTAAACAGTATTGGTATCTGCTAAACCTCTAAGATAGATACTGGGGTTTCATTATATTGCTTTCTCTGCTTTTTATGTATTTCACAATTTTCACAATAAAAATGAAATGAATCTAAAATACAAATTAAAACTATGTTTAAAATCTATTTCTTAAATGGCAATAGGTGTATCTCAAAAATAAATATAACTTGAACTTTGCAAATTAGATTGCAACAGTAAAGGGCTCCCCTATACCTATCCCAACTTCAAAAATCAACATGCCTTCTATCTCTGACAGAAAGATGCTAGTGAGCACTACAAAGCTGTACGAGTTTGTGTGCTTGGCAAGTAAACCTAATAAAAATGAGGACCATTTTATATGTTACTATAGCTCTGGTAGCGTAGTGGTTACGAGTCGGGCTGCTAACCTTAAGTCAGTAGTTCAAAACTACCAGCCATTCCATGGGAGAAACATGAGGCTTTCTGCTCTGGTAAAGATTTACAGCTTCGGAAACCCTACACAGCAGTGCTATGGGTCGAAACTGACTCAGCAGCACACCACGACCACCACCACCAGAGTACTCAGGGCAAATACAGAACCCACAGAATAATACAAATTCTGTTCTTTAAGAAGACTAGGTATCATTTTTTGTTTCTTATTAAATAGTTTAGTACTTTAATTCTATTTTCAATTTATGTTTGTTGTGGCTAAGTGCTGTCAAATTGGTTCCATCTCATAATGACCCTGTAGAGGGTTTTCTGAGGAGCCACTAAGAAATCTGAACCCCTCAACTTTATGGTTCAAACTGACCAAGCAGTCCAGTGCTTATCCTATAGCGCCACACCAGGTCTTCTGTCTCCTTAAATTATATTGTTGTTGTTACGTGCTGTGGAGTCAGTTCCGACCCATAGCGACCCTGTACAGGGTTTCCGAGACTGTAAATCTTTACGGGAGCAGAAAGCCTCATCTTTCTCCCGCAGAACAGCTGGAAGTTTCAAATTGCCGACCTTGCAGTTTGCAGCCCGATTCGTAACCACTACACTACCCCTAATTACAATTAATTCAAGACAACTGCTAATCCTTCTAACTCTAAATGAAAACTACAGAAATAACGACTAAAATTTTGAAACATTAAATAATAAACTTTCTGAAAACCTTTTGGAATGGGTCCATGTTTCTATTACCATATTAATCACCCTAGAAGAAAACTGATAAATTACATCTTACACAACTGAAGGCTTCTTCAGAGCCATGAAATATTTTTCAGTTCAGATTATAGCCTCTTAATCCTCACTCATGACCCTCATGCTTTTCTAAAAAATGAAATAGCAAGAAAGTGCCACCAAAAGGTTTATCATCATTTTACTTTTAGCAATAAAATATACCAAAATATGGAACTCCATATACCAGAAATATTTTTCCTTCACCTATAACTCACCTGAACCTGATGGAGGACTTGTAAAAATATGTCAAATGATGCTCAACAGCTGAACTAGAAGTTTAAAAAAGTATTTAATATGGACTTTTAAACACTGACATACAAAGGATAAAAGAACAACTTACAAGATAAAATGAAGCTTTTATCTTTTAACCTAGTTTTAATTTTGACAACTTATACTAAGGGCATGGCTGTTTTAATATATGACTCTAAAAACAAATACACTGGAAACTACGATGCCAGTGCTACCACATGTTTCTTGTTACTTGAAAACGTAAGCAAGAGATGTATTGCCATCTGCATTGGAAATCTGAGAATCTTAACCTTGAAACTGATTGGCTTAAAATTATCAGCCTAATACTTACCCGCTCCTTGGAAACCCTGTACAGGGTCGCTATGGGTCGGAACCAACTTGACGGCATTTCACAACAACAACTGAGTGTACAGCATAACTATTCTTCAAATTTAGTTTTTTCTTTTACTATTTCCTTCCTAAACTTTATGATTCCAAGCATTTAAACTTTATGTCTTTCCCGAGCAAGTTTATTCAAAGCAAAATGTTTATTCCTAATGCATAAATATTTCAAAATGTACCTGTGAGCACTTAAAAAAAAAAAAAAAAGTAAAATGTTGTTAATAAGTTGCTTAAGAGACTTTACAAAAATTGCAACCTAATTATCATCCAACAATTAACCTCATTGCACAAATTCATCAGATTAAAGATGAGAAAGCAGATTTAAAGAGGTTAGCCTGGTGGTGGTGGTGGTTATGTGCCGTGGAGTCAGTTCTGACTCACAGCGACCCTGTACAGGGTTTCCGAGGCTGTAAATCTTTATGGGAGCAGAAAGCCTCATCTTTCTCCCACAGGACAGCAAGTTGGTAGTTTCGAACCGCTGACTTTGAGATTAGCAGCCAGTTCATAATCACTATGCTAACCAAATGAATAGTAAAAATTGGGTTTACTGGCTAAAAGTCCAATTTTTTTTTATTTTTTTTTTTACTATGGTACTTTTGCTTTCTAATATGAACAGGCTTCAAACAGTCCAAATTTCTCTTTAAAATCCTGGCATGGTGCTGTACGAAAAACATTGGACTGCTAACCAAAAGGTCAACTGTTCAAATCCACAAGCTGCTCCAAGGAAACCCCACACAGAGTTGCTGCGTTTGAACCAGTTCAACAGTATTTAACAAAAATACAACATGCTGTTGTACATTGTATAGTTTGCCGTCTCTTTAATCAAGAGAAACAAATGTCAGTTGATGTCTGGAATTTCATAGGTGAAAAGTTGGGATATGGAAAAGGACCTGAATGAAGCAAATTATTTGGCAAGTAGAAATGAATCCAAGGTCAGAAGATACTTTTCAGTAGCTGATGCTCAAAACTTAAGTGCTGTCAAGTTGGTTCAGACTCCTCGCGCCCTTTGAAGTGCTGACCATGTGGTTAGCAAGCAGTTCAGTGCTCATCCTACAAGTGCCACACCAAAACGTCTAGAAATGAATTAAAGGATTAAACAAAGTAGGTGATTAGTGTTAAAATAACTCTAGTGTTATTTTAATTAGTGTTAAAATAACTCCTCCTTGGGAACCCCATTGTTGTTATAAGTGCTATGGAACCAATTCCAACCCATAAAGACTTGGTATAGAGTTTCCAAGGAGCAGCTGGTGAGCAGGGTGGCCTTTTCACTGTGAAAAGGTGCAGACCCAGCACAAGTCTAGCAAATCTTCCCCAATCAGTGCTAGCAGGGCCTAGGCGACAGGGAACCATGCCTACTTTATACTCCCCAGAAGAGGACTGTACCAGGCAGGGTTCCTGCTTAGTCAAGATGATCTGATTTTCTGGGCCATGAAGTAAACAAAACCATGATCATGATGAAAATTTTATTACCAATCTGAAATCCATAATCAAAAGGCAGCTCTGAGGCTCAGAGAAAAGAGTACTTACTTATTGCTATTTACTACCTTTAGATATTAGGCGAGGGAAGGACACTAAAAATTAAGACTCCTCTTATCTCCCCACAAGAAACACCACAGAGATAAAGCTGAAGCAATTTAGTCAAGTCAAAGGCACTAACTATCCTTTGAAAAGTTCCACTGTTAAAATAAACCTGACAGTGGGTAAAACTGCCACCTTTGATCATTTCTATAAGGAGACACAGGTTCATTTAACTCTCAAATAGATGAGAAGGGAAAGGAATTTACAAAATAACTTCCCTATGTGTGTTTGGGAGTCCTGGTGTGGTGCTGCGGGCTAATGCAACAGACTGCAAAGTCGTTTGAACTGCAAAGGTCGGTGGTTCAAGCTCACCAGCTGCTCCTTGGAAACCTTATACAGGGTCCCTATAGGTCAGAAATGACTCAATGACACTTAACCTGTGTTTAAACCACCACGTCTCCAGTTCAAGCTTACCAGCCACTCCTCCTGGGAAACCCCATACAGAGTGGCTATGAGTCAGAAGCAACTCAACAACAACCTCTGTGGTAATAGTCCCTAGGTGGTCCAACTGGTTAATTACCAGACTCAGCTGCTAACTACAAATAAAACGTTCAGGTCTGAGTCCATCCAGGGGGTCTGGGAAGAAAGAAAGGCCTAGTGGTACTACTGTAAACCCTATGGCGAACAATCCTAGCTTGACGCACATTATGCATGGGTCCGAAGTGATTCATTGGCAAAAAATGAAAAATCCGATTTTGTATAATTTGGAAAACTTACATGAAAATCGCAACTATAAAGTACTCACTGCCTTACTGTCACCAGATTTAAAATTAACTAGTACTCATCATTACGAATCGGGCTGCGAACCACAAGGTCAGCAGTTCGAAACTACCAGCTGCTCCGCGGGAGAAAGATGAGGCGTTCTGCTCTCGTAAAGATTAAGAGCCTCGGAAACCCTGTGCAGGGTCGCTTTGAGTCGGAACCGACTCCACGGCACATACAACAACAGTACTCATCTAAATAAAAGTAATGATGCCGTTTTTCAAGACCAAAATTATTTGTCAGTAGAGATATTTGTTGTTCACAGAACTGTCGTGCAAAAGTTTCTAAATTCTGTAAATTTAAACGATTCAATATTTTGACAGCTCGTCGAATTCCAAACTACACCCTTGAATTTTATTCCTTACAAAGACTTCTGAGGCTGGCTTGCGGGAATCAATGTTAGTTCTTAATTTTGCAACACGTCAAAATCTTGCCGCTAAAGTGTGGCGCTGTAGAATCAGCACTGGACTGCGAACAAGGTCAGCAGTTCAAACCCACCAGCTGCTCCTTGGAAACCCTATACAGGGTCGCTATCAGTCGGAACCGATTCTACTGGGCCGCACTTAGCAACATCCTATGGGGATATGGTATAGATGAGCACTTAAAACTGATTGATTGCTCCTTCTCTGACCATTTTCACTGCTTTTTTTTTTTTCTAATTTGAAAGTCGCACGGCACAAGCGATGCTTCCAGCAATAGTGCCAATACAAATGACATCTAGCCTCTACCAACATGTGTGCTTTGGAGTTCTTTCCATGAGTTTTACTTGGATAAACATTTAAAGGCTTTACGCTCATAGCTCGCTGTTCACGGTTCCTTTAATATTTATAGGCAACAAAGTCCCTTCCGATGAATCTAGTTTGAAGGACGAAATAGCTACACGAAAACATGAGGAAGCAAATTCTCAGCGTAAAAATACTAACAAACTCACAAAACAGAACACTAAAGCGCTGAAGCACACACTCATCGGGCTGCTATGCGAGTCGCCACCAACACGGGCGGCCCCTTGCGGGCCGCGGGCCCCAGTGCGCACGGCTCCCGGGGTCGCGCGATCGGTAACGCCAGGACAGCAGCTCCCAGGCTAATGGAGGACAAGCGGGCGGGCGCGGGCGCGGGCGGTGCTGGGCTGATGCAACGCGGAGCGCGGCTGCGGGGACAGTGCACGGATGACAAAGGGGGCACGGCCGGGCGGCGGGCTGGGGGCTCCCGGAGAGCAGAGAGGTGGAACCGAGCCGGGGCGGTTTCGGGGAGCCCGGCAGTGCGGGGCACGGCCCCAGGGACAGCCGGGTGGCGCGGGGCGCGCGTGCGGAGCCGGCAGGGGGCAGAGCAGGCAGGATGTCACGTGGAGTGGGCGCTACGGGAGCCGGGAGGGCTGCGTGCCGACCGAGGGGGGTCTTGGCCACCACCTGAAAGACGGCGTTACTCACAGGAGTCGCGGACTCTTCTTGCCCTGAGCTGGAGACGGGGGCTTCGCGGCCTGGGACTGCGGCCCTGGGGCGTCGGCAGGCCTGGCGCTGGGGCTGCTCCTCCGCCGGCGCGGGTACTCGGCCTTCCTCCGGCGGGACACTGCAGCGGCGGCGGCGGCCGCAGCGGCCCGGCCCCGGTCGCGGCCTCCCCTCAACACGCGGCTGCTCGTGGTTCCCGCAGGCGCCGCCGCCGCCGCCTCGGGAGGCCGCTGCTGGGGCTCCTCTGGAGCCGCCTTAGCCGCCGCCGCCTCTCCCCCGTCCTGGTCCTGCTTCTCCCGGGGTCTCGGCTCTTCCGTCTCCCCCGGCATCAGGGCTCGTCCGTCCCCACCCCCTCGTCCCAGGCGGCGGAGGCGGAGGCGGCGGCGGCCACGGCGCTGCTCCCCCCGCCCCCCTCGCCTCCTGGAGCGTCCGGCTCACTCTCACCCTGCGCTCCTCTTCCCCCCTCCCCTCCTCCCAGCTCCGAGGGCGCCCCCCCGCCCCCTGCCACTCACGGTCCGCAGCCGCTGGCGCCGCGCGCGCGTCCGACGCGGACGCCCCACGGGCCAATCGGAGAGGAAGAATAACCTCCTGTCCCCGCCCCTCCGGCGTCTCACGCAGCGGCGTAGCAAGTGCCCACCCACACGCCTTCCTTCGACCAATCAGGCAACAGCTCCAAGGGAGCGCGCGAGGTTTCCTTCCCCGCGCACCCGCTCTCACCGTTAAACGGTTGCGTCTCGCGACAATCCGAAAATGACCTTTTCCCCTCCTCTGGAGATCAACGCGCGCTAGGGGAAATGGGAGGGGCAGGTCTCGCGAGGGAGTTTGGTGGGAAGAAAACGCACCTCTTTCCTCGCCTCGCGCGTACCCTGGACTGCCTGCGCGCGCACCTGCCTCCCTGAGGAGTCGCTAATGCTACCAGGGCTCTTTTTAGCCTTCCTCAGTCCGCGGGAACAGCCTGGTCGTTCTTCTATCTCCACCCTGAGCCCCTCTTTCCTGTCTTTAGTTTTTTTTGTCCCCAGCGTCGCCAGGTCTTGCAGGGAGACTGGGGGGCGGGGGGCGGTAAATTCAGCTGGCGCTTCTCCTTTAAGAAAAAAATCCCCTCGGTTGCCGGATGAAAACCTCTAACAAAATGGTGGCGAGTAGGACGGGGGTGGGGTCGTGAGGGGCCACAAGAACCCGTCTGTGAGCGCATGCGTAGAATTCTCCTTCTTCTAGGCATTCTGGGACATGAAGTTCTAGTTGCCGTGGGCTGCCGCGAACTATGTTAAGAAAACTGAATCGGAGAGGATGCTGGGACATCCTCTTTTTGGACAGGTGTTCGATGGGAAAAGTAGTTTATACTCCTTCCGCGGTCCGAGTTTACTCTTCCCGGGAGGCAAGTGTTTCCGCATTGGGCCGTGACTTCTTTACCGGTACCCTCCCAAGTGAGAGTTCCAGTTGCTGATCAGAACAGGACTGTGAGGGTTTTTCCTACTTTTTGCTTTGCGTTGGCGTAGCATATATAGGGTGGACACACAATGCTCCTTACCTTGGTTTGATTAGGAGCTCTGGTAGCGTGTTGTTGTTAGGTGCTATCGAGTGGGTATCCACTCAGATCTTATTTATGCACTGCAGAACGAAAACTGCCCGATTCTGGGCCAACCTCATAATTGTTGCCACTCTTGAACTCATTGATGCTGCCACTTTGCCAATCCATCTCGCTGGGGGGTCTTCTTTTTCTCCGACCCTCCACCTTTGTTGTTGTTGTCAGGTGCCATCGAGTCGGAACCGACTCATAGTGACCCCATGCACAGCAGAACGAAACAATGTCCGATCCTGGGCCAACCTCACTACCGCTGCTACACTTGATGCCATCAATGATGCCACCTGGCCAATCCATCTCGTTAGGGGTCTTCCTCTTTTTCTCTGACCCTCCACCTTACCAAACATGATATCCTTCTCCAGCGACTGGTCCCTCCTGACAATATGTCCGAAGTATGAGAGACGAAGTTTGGCCATCCTGGCCTCCAAGGAGCACTCTGGCTGCACTTCTTCCAACACAGATCTGTTGGTTCTTTTGGCAGCACATGGCACTTTCAATATTCTCGTCTTAACACCATAACTCAAAAGCATCAATTTTTCTACCGTCTTCCTTATTCATTGTCCAACTTTCGCATGCATGTGAGATTATTGAAAATACCATGGCTTGGGCCAGGTGCACCTTAGTCCCCAAGCTGACATCTTTGTTCTTCAACACTTGAAAAAGGTCTTGTGCAGCAGATTTGCCTAATGCAATACCTCCTTTGATTTCTTGACTGCTGTTTCCGTGAGTCTTGATAGTTGATCCAAGAAGAACGAAGTCCTTGACAACTTTAATCTTTTCTCTGTTGATAAGAATGTTGTTTATTGGTCCAGTGGTGAGGATTTTTGTTTTCTTGACATTGAGATGTAATCCATATCGAAGGCTGTGCTCTTTGTTCTTCATAAGTAAATGTTTCAAGTCCTCTTCACTTTCAGCAAGCAATGATATCCTCCAGCGACAATATGTCCGAAATATGAGAGACGAAGTTTGGCCATCCTGGCCTCCAAGGAGCACTCTGGCTGCACTTCTTCCAACACAGATCTGTTGGTTCTTTTGGCAGCACATGGCACTTTCAATATTCTCGTCTTAACACCATAACTCAAAAGCATCAATTTTTCTACCGTCTTCCTTATTCATTGTCCAACTTTCGCATGCATGTGAGATTATTGAAAATACCATGGCTTGGGCCAGGTGCACCTTAGTCCCCAAGCTGACATCTTTGTTCTTCAACACTTGAAAAAGGTCTTGTGCAGCAGATTTGCCTAATGCAATACCTCCTTTGATTTCTTGACTGCTGTTTCCGTGAGTCTTGATAGTTGATCCAAGAAGAACGAAGTCCTTGACAACTTTAATCTTTTCTCTGTTGATAAGAATGTTGTTTATTGGTCCAGTGGTGAGGATTTTTGTTTTCCTTACATTGAGATGCAATCCGTATGAAGGCTGTACTCTTTGATCATTATCAGTAAATGTTTTAAGTCCTCTTCACTTTCAGCAAGCAAGGTTGTATCATCTGCATATCACAGGTTTTTAATGAGTCTTCCTCCAATCCTAATGCCACGTTTTTCTTCATATAACCCAGCTTCTCAGATTATTTGCTCAGCATACAAATTGAGTAAGTATGGTGAAAGAATACAACCCTATCACACACCTTTCTTAATTTGAAACCATTCAGTATTCCTATGATCTGTTTGAACAACTGCCTCATGGTCCATGCACAGATTCCTTATGAACAAAATTGTTCCAGAATACTCGTACTTTGCAATGTTGTTCATAGTTTCTCTTGATCCACATAATAATCGAAAGCCTTTGTGTAGTCAATAAAGCACAGGGAAACATCTTTCTGACATTTTCTGCTCTAAGCAAAGATCCATCTACATCTTTGGAAAGAGACGATGGAAAAGCTCCAAATCATCAGTTGAAACAAGGCCGGGGCAGACTGTGGAACAGACAGACCATCAGTTGTTCATATGCAAATTCAAGCGAAAGTTGAAGAAAATGAAAATAAGTCCACAAAAGACAAAAACATGACATTGAATATATCCCAACTGAATTTAGAGATCATCTGTAGAACAGAGTCGATACATTCCATTGGGTCACCTCATTCTAGAATGGGCACAAATATGGATCTCTTCCAATCAGTCCGCCAGATAGTTGTCTTACAAATTTCTTGGCAGAGATGAGTGAGTGCCTCCAGTGCTACCTCACTTTTCTGAAAGATTTCAATTTTTATTCCACCAATTTCTGGTAGCGTAGTGGTTACAAATTGGGCTGCTAACATCAGGGTGAACAGTTCAAAACTACCAGCTGTTCCACGGGAGAAAGATGAGGCTTTCTGCTCCTGTAAAGATTTACAGCCTCGGAAATCCTGTACAGGGTCACTCTGAGCCACGGCACATAACAACAACCACTTTGGTTTGATATAGTGGCACGTCTGGGACCAGCAAGGTTTATGTCAACATTATTTGTGTTGACCTCCAGTATTGGCCCACTAACTTGGGGGCCTTTGGAAGGCAGGACATCAGGGGCCTACCACACTGCTTAGTACTCTGTTGGCTTTTAATAAAAGTTTGTAGAACAAATTGTAGAGATACCAGACATTAAGACATCAAGAAGCTGTCATTTGCTACTTAATTTGTAGCTTGTAGTTCCTGAACTGGAAGAAAGAGTTGTCAGCAGGACTCTGGTGACCTCCCGAGAAGCTGAAGGTCTCCCTCTTGCCTCTTGTCTCGAAGCCACTTGTGGTTTGTAAATTTTCTGCTGCACAGAAAACACAGAAGAGCAGCTTTGTCAGAAGTTACTTGTCTGACCAGTGCTGTATACAGCTAATTTGTCCTCGTGCGTCAAAAGGGAGTTTCCTTTTTGCTCATCTCCCAGGCTGCTATATGTGATGCAGGTGGCCTCTTGCATCTCTTCCTTTCTTTCATCCATTATATTCAGAACACTTTGCAAGAACAGTCAATTACCGCTGGAAAATAAAGCATCGGAAGTGTCAAAACTCCAGAAGAATGAGGGTGGAAACAAGATCTGGGTATCTCTTGTAGATTTCACATTAATTAACCATTCAGTTCAACTGTTGAGGCTGCTCAATACTGGCCAGCTAAGTGCTGAAGTGCAGGTTTGCTTCCAGTTATTTGGACTCAGTCACCACTGCAGACTGTTAGGTGCTGTCCTCTGAGTTCAACTCACAGCAAACCTGGGCCTGCGCAGCCTCAAAATCGTTGCTGTGTTTTGAGCCCATTGTTGTAGCCACCGTGGCCATTTTACGGTCCTGCTTTACCAAAGATGATGTCCTCCAGGGCCTAGTCCCTCTGATAATAGGTTCACAGTATAAAAAGATGAAGTTTCACCATCCTGACCTCTAAGGAGCATTCAGACTGTACTGCTCCCACGACACATTTGTCTTTCTAACAACCTGTTGATTTATTTATTTTTAATAACATAAACAGTGACCATGTGGGCCTAGTTAGATGGCATACTGTACACAGGAATCCAATTGACTGCGACTGTGGAAGAGACCATGAAGAAGCTCAGTACATCAGAACAAGGTTAGGGACTGCCTGCACATCAGACCAGTGGCTCATAATACAAGTTCAATTTGAAGCTGCAGAAATCAAAACAATTCCACGAGAGTCAAAGTAAGACCTTGAATATATCCCGCCTGAACTAAGAGACCATCTGAAGACTAGATTTGACACATTGAATACTAATGACTGAAAGTCAGACAGGTTGTGGGATGATGACATCAGGGACATCGTACGTGAAGAAAGAAAAAGGTGGTTAAAAAGACAGGAAAAAAACAGACCAAAATGAGTGTCAGAAGATACTTGCTCTTGTTATTGTTTGCCATTGAGTCGGTTCTGACCCATAGTGACCCTGTATAGGGTTTCCGAGGAGCAGCTGATGAGCTTGAATCGCTGACGTTGCAGTTCAAACCAACTTTGCAGTCCAGCACATTAACCCACAGTGTCACACCAGCACTCCAAAACGTGCTCTTCAAGTAGCTAAAGTGAATTGAAGAAATGAAATAAAAGAGCTAACAAAAGATTTCAAAGTGTGACTCCAGAAAACAAAGTAATATAGCGAAATGTAGGAGCTCTGGTAGCGTAGTGGTTACGAATTGGGCTGTGAGCCGCAAGGTCAGCAATTCGAAACTACCAGCTGTACCGCGGGAGAAAGAGGAGGCTTTCTGCTCCCGTAAAGATTTACAGCCTCAGAAACCCTGTACAGGGTCGCCATGAGTCGGAACCGACTCCACAGCACATAACAACAACAACAACAACATAGTGAAATGTACAGAGTGAAAACTTAAAAGGAAAAACACACTTGGCATTTCTAAACGTCAAAGAAGTAAAGAACACAATTCAAGTCTCAAACTGTAATACTGAAGGATTCTGTGACAAAATAATGAACTATGCAGGAAAACTGAGAAGACGATGGAAGGAATGTGCAGACTTACTGTACCACTTCAAATTGTTGTTAAGTAAGTTGAATTGGTTCCGACTCATAGTGACTCTGTATAGGATTTCCTAGAAGCTGCTGGTGATTTTGAACCACTCACCTTGTGGTTCAAACCGACCTTGCAGTCCAGTGCCTCTCCTACAGCACCACACCAGGCAAGTGCTTTATCTTCTATACTGATTTGTTTGCACTTTCAGAGAGTTAATTTCATTTTCAGTTATAAAAAAATGTTTAGAAATTTTTTCTTACCTCATGCTTGAAACAGCACTGACATCCAATGGTTACTCGAAGTAATGCAAAGTGGGAATTTCCTTTCAGTTATACAAAAAGAAGTCTTGGAGACACAATGAAACGAAAAAATGAAAAAATGAATGGTTCCTTTAGATTAACCTAAAAAAGAACTTGTTAACACAACAAAGATCACAGACTTTGAAATCAAGTTGAATTAGCTCCAACTGATTCTCTTTCAAGTTACAGTCTGTGGACCTATTTCATCACTGTAAAACTGGGGACAATATTTATTTCACAAGGCCCTTTGTTGTTGTTGTTGTTAAGTGCCATCGAGTCATATAGTTATTTATATATTGCCTTCTCTGACTTATTGGGTAAATGTTTTATTTTATTCCAGGTGAATAAAATTTCAGTGCTTAAAAAGGTAAAAATTAACCTCAGTAGAACACTTTTCAGAGAAACTGGAGCAAGGCAATGCAGCTCTGCAGGCGTGTTGCCTCATTGCGATGTCAACAGGTTAGCATCTGGTATCTTCAGCCTTCTAGTTTCATTCTTCATGACCTCTGTGGTGGTGTCCTTTGCTGCCACTGAGTTCTCTGCGTCTTGCTAACCTTATGTACAACAGAATGCAACATTGCCCCGTCCTGCATTGTCCTCACAATAGTTCATACGTCATGAACCCAGTATGGTAGCTGCCATGCCAACCTGTCCCATAAAGTGTTTCCCACTGTACTTTGAGGTCTCATAAATTAGCATTAACAGCAGCCTACATAGAGAACACTTAGTTTACCAAAGATGATGTCCTTATCCAATGAGTGACCCTTCTCGATGGCGCGTCCTTTAGATACCCCTGAAATAAGTCAGGCCCTGGCAATCCAAACAAGAATAAGCATCAGTCCTGACTTTTAAAGATTCACAGTCTATTCAGTAAAGTGGGTAAACTTAGTTTCTGAGTAATTAAGTTTGGTTTCTTTTAAAGAGCAAAACGGGTATGCTAGTTAATTCTGATAGAAATTTTCTGAACGCTGTGCCTCTGTTGTCTCCCCACCATCACAGAAAAAAACTGGCTTCCTGATATGCAGCCTCAGTGAGACCCTCACTAGGGATGCAAAGCACAAATCTGCCATTTCTGCTTCAAGATGAATTCAAGATGAATCATGCACATAGTAAGTACTCAAATTTTGCTAAATTAATTTTGAATCTTTATCTTCCAATTCGCCACCAGAATTCAAATTCTGCCACCTGCCTTTCTATCAGTTCTATTTCATTTTAAAACTGTGACCTACAAAAAAAAGAAAAGAAAGAAAAGCAACTCACAAAATCAAAAGAGAGGAAGTGCTAAGCAAATACAGGAACCAGAAAGAGTTATCGAGGCTGCTTCTCGCTGCCTCATTCAGTTCCTTTGTGGTCCTCTTCTTCAACACATGCCAAAGCAGTTCCTGACGACCTGAGAGACCAGAGCCTTCTGGGAGTGTGACAATGGAAGAGTTGGGTGAGTGGAGCTTCGTTGAGGAGAAACTGAGAGAATGAGCTTCTTTGAGGAAAAACTGAGAGAATGTCATGCCTTTGTGTGGTGGCCTATGCTTCTAGCCAGACTGAGGGTAATGCTGAAAATTTTATTTTCACTTCTCTGTTGTCTTCAGCCGACCACGACTGAAGCATGAGGAACTATGATGGTTATGGGAAACTCCGGGCTCACTGTTTGCAGGGGCATCATAGGCAGTGAAGTTTGTACTAACAATAGAGTGGTCTTTCCACAAACACTTTTGGACTGAATTGTGTTTGAAATGGGCATGTTAACATGGGCATTTGGTCCTTTGGGAGGCTCAGGAAGTCATAGGGTGGTCACACAGCTACAGGGATGTGATTGGGGGGAAAGAAAGAAAGAAAATGGAGGGGGAGGAAAGGGCATTATGAGGAAGGGAGGTAGAAGTGAAGTTCAAGAATGAGGACTCTGCAGAGGCTGGAGAAAGGCCAAGGTGGTTTCGTTTGTTCCATGGCTTAGTGTGAAATCAGTGATTTCGTTGCTTAAGCCTTTTATTCAGTGGAATTCTGAAGGAACAGATTATTGTGGCTTGCAAATATGATACCTCCTCCTACTATGTGGCAATTAAAACCAGCAGTGGGACTATTGGCCACGTTGCTCAGGGAGATCCCCGTTTCAGACCTTTGGAGTAGTGTAAGGCTTGCAATTCTTGGGACTCATGCTGTGGCCTTTGCCAGCTTTCCTTGCTGGCATCCTTACTAACCCCAAGTCACCCAGTAACCTTTCCCCAACAGCCAACCCATTAGCCTAGGTTTTTCACGTGGCAAGTCTACACAACAACAAACGCACACACCATCGACATTGGATTTTTAAATCGAGGATGTGATTTGAAGGCTGGGGAAGTAGAGGATGGGAGAAAGATGGAAGATGGAAATGCTGAATGAACAAAAGAGATGTTGTTTAACAAATATTGATCTGTTTTAGATGTAAAATCTATTTTGATACTTGAAGAGATCCATTTTGGTTTTGGGATAGAATCTAAACTTTCATCCTCTGGGTGAACGTTCCAGAAATCCACATTTCTTCCCAAATTCTAATAGACTCTCTCCACCACTACCCCTCCAACCCCATTTTTGTTTTGCTTTTTTAAATTTTAGAGAGATTCAATAATTTCCATGTAGGTAATTCAAAGGGGAATTAATATGCAGCCAGTTGCTCCAGCTAAAGCTCGGCATTTTTCTATGAGAATCATTTTAGGGTTTGCAGCAACCCTTGGAATCAGGTCATGGCCACTTTGTTTTTTTTCAATTGAGAAAACTAAGGAAAAAAATGAAATAGTTTCTTTAAAGCCACTTTTCAAGGCATCTGACACCAAAACCAATTAATTTACAAGGTGTTCTCCATTTATGAGAATTGTGTTGATGCAATTGTATAATTAAAAAAACAAACACCACCCAGATAATAAGAAACTGATAGATTCGAATAGGTTTGTTTTTCCTGAGCAGGATGAATGGTAGAGAAATACGGTCTAGAAAGTACCATTGAGTGTGGAAGCTGCCGTTTGGTAGACTATCCAGATGGCTCTTCCGTGTGGTGGTGTAGAAGAAGCACTGGACGGCAGGGTCAGTTTAAACTGCAAGGTTTAAACCCTCACCGGCCACTCCTGAGAAACCCTATACTAGGGCCCTATGAGTAGGAGCCTACTGGACGGCAGTTAACAACACCTCAATAGCTGTTGATGTCTATACCTAAAAGCTTAATTCTCTTGTTCTCTCTCCAATAGCAACCTACAAAACTTGGGGTGTGTCCTTTTCCCTTCTGTGGGAAATAGCATCACAGGCAGGCTCCTATGTAGCCGGTGTCTCCTATGTAGAACTTCCTACGTTAGTAGCTTGAATCCACGCAGAAAGTTTTGTCAAACCTCATCACCCAGGAATGCTAGATAAAGGGAACCAGTAGCAGGCTGTCACTCTGAATGAAATTAAAATTCAGAGGGACCCCAAGAGATCCCACTTTACTCCTTTCCTGTGAATACTGGTATTGTTCATTACTGGAGGGGGTTTGAGCTGTTGGTTAGATGAAGGGTAATAGAGTTTTCAGTCTGGTTCTCACCTACCACCTTCCACCTTCTCCGTAACTACCACCAGTAACCCTGTATTTGTCATACTGAAATTAATCATCTTCAGATTACACAATCTGGCAAGATGACCCGGGGGTGTTGGTGACATGTGCACAAATAAGGAACAATAGAAAGGCCTCTCAACTCACGGCCCTAAAGGGAGTGTTTCAATTGTGCTGATAAATTCGTGTTTCTCAGGGTAACCCATACTCTTGTCATTAGGTACCAATGCATAGCTACCCTTTGTACAAGTAGAATATGGTTTACTTTTCTTATAGATGGTCTCCTCTCTCCCCCAACCTTTGTGGTAAATTACTTTTTAGTTTGAATCTGTAACTAACGTTGACTTCTGGTTGGAGCAAAGCTTGTTGTTGTTGTTAAGTGCCGTCAAGTCGGTTCCGACTCATAGCGACAACTTAGAAGATAAAAAAGAGAGGGGATAGCAGAATAACTTGTCTACCAATGTTCTGAAACAAGAAGTTTTACTTTCTATTTTCACTTTAGTTTCTTTCTTTCTTTTTATAAACTTTTAACTATGGTGGTGGTGGTTGTGTGCTGTGGAGTTGGTTCCAACTCATAGCGACCCCTTATAGGGTTTCCGGGGCTGTAAATCTTAACGGGAGTAGAAAGCCTCATCTTTCGCCCTCAGAACAGCTAGTAGTTTTGAACTGCTGACCTTGAGATTGGCAGCCCAACTCATAACCACTATGCTAGGAGAACTTCTTAAACCTTTTACTATATAGAATTGTAAACATATGTTAGAGAAATACTTTAAGAAGCCTAATCCTTAGAGTCCTGGTGTGGCGCTGGAGGTTAATGTGCCAGACTGCAAAGTCGTTTGAACTGCAAGGTCAGTGGTTCAAGCTCACCAGCTACAACTTGAAAACCCTATACCTGGGTCACTTGGGTCGGAACTGACTCAACAGCACTTAACAATAACAACAACAACAATTGCATCCAGGCAAAGGTCCCAACTCACAGCGACCCTGTATAGGGTTTCCGAGGATGAGCTGGTGAGTTCGAACCACCGACCTTGCAGTCTAGTGCTTGTCCTACAGCGCCTCACTAGAATCCTTCTATTTTAATAATTTGTAAGAAATGATTAGATCTTTACTTATATCTTTAAGAAATACTCATCCCCCTCCACCCACGCATGTAAATGTGAAATAAATGATAATCTATGTTTCAAAACCCCCTGTAAACTCCAATTCCCTCATCTGCAAACTTCAGAGCTAGGCAAGTTCTTAGAAATAATCTAGTGTTTTGAAACCGTTTTAAACCACACAGCTTGTGGTAAGAAGTTCTCTAAAAAACAACAAACAAACAACCCGTTGCCAGTGACTTGGCTTCATCTCCTGTGCACCCCACGCATTCCAGAGAAGCACTGTTCCCTAAGGTTTTCTTGGCTGCAGTCTTTGTGGAAGCAGATTTTAATGCCTTCGTCCACAAGAAATTTACTGGAGATCCCCTCATGGGTCATTCGCTACCCACAGTTTGAAGATTACTCTTCTAATCTAATCACTTCATTACATAGATGAGGAAACCGCTTCAGAGGAGGACACGACACACCCAAGATGACCCAGAAAACTCAAGTGAGAAGGGGAACTGGCTGATTGGAAGTTCATCTATGGCACAGGGATTAGCTAGCCCAGGTTTAAGTCCTTGTTCTTCACTGAATGACAGCATGGCCGAAAATGAGTTACTTTTGTCTTCTTATGCTTGTCTCTCAGTCTACAAAGTAAGGACAATAACAACATATACCTCAAAGAGGGACCCACTGCAATCTAGTCATTCCAACGCATAGCTACTCTATAGGAGAGAGTACAACGCCAATAGTGTTTCCAAGGTTGCAAATATTATGGAAGCCAGTGAGTTCAAACTTCAAGTCAGCTAGCATGTTCAAGCCTCTAATCTTTCATTTAGCAGCTGAGCAAGTAACTACTATGCCACTAGACTCCTTGTTTCAAAGTGCTGCTGGTGGAGGGTTATGTGCCGTGGAGTTGGTTCTGACTCATAGTGAACCAGCATAGGGTTTCCGACGCTGTAAAACTGAACAGGAACAGAAAGACTCATCTTTCTCTCTTGGAACAGCTGGTAGTTTTGAATTGCTGACTTTGAGTTTAGCAGCCTGTCTCATAACCACTACGCTATCAGAGTGCCTTCAAAGCGGTTGTTGTTGTTGAGTGCCGTCGAGTCAGCTTTAAAGAAACTATTTCATTTTTTTCTTAGTTTTCTCAATTAAAAAAATAAAACAAAGTGGCCGTTACCTGTTTCAGACGGTTGCTGCAAACCCTAAAATGATTTGCATAGAAAAATGACGAACTTTAGCTTGAGTGACTGGCTGCATATTAATTCCCTTTTGAATTACCTGCATGAAAATAATTGGATCTCTCTAAAATTTCAAAGAGCAAAACAAAAATGGGGTTGGAGGGGTAGAGGTGGAGAAAGCCTATTAGAATTTGGGAAGAAATGTGGATTTCTGGAACTTTCCCGTGGATCTGCTGGTAGTTTCAAACTGCTGACCTTGAGATTAGCAGCCCAATTCGTAACCACTATGTTACCAGAGCTCCTTTCAAAGTGGTAGGATGGTTAAATGAAATATATGCACCCCTGTCTATAGTAGCTGACCTGTCTTACTATTCATTTCATCATAATGGAAAGGTAATTGTATAATATTTGTGAAGTCCAGTTTTTATTTCTCCCCTCAAAGAAATTACACATTTTCTATCCATACGCTAAGAGCCAGAATTTGTATTCTTTGTTTTTGGAAGTTTGTTGTATAGCTTGAGGATGATTCTTCAGACTGAAATCCAAAGAAAAATCAGGGTTAAGATTAATTGTTACTACATAGGTGTTTTTTAAGAAGTTGTAGTATAAGGGCTTTCAATTTTTTGATGGGAAAAATATTTCACTTTTTTGTTCTTCTAATTGAGCATCTTTGTAGGTGATCTACCCTAAATGAATCATAAAAATTAATACCTGGCAATGAAGGAAGTTAACTTATAGAGTGAGATGATGAAAGTAAATACAACTACAGGAAATAAGCAGGCTACAGTAGACAGAGGTATTACTTATCTTCTAGTAGAATAGACCAATGACTTTGGTGATTGAAATGAAATGATTGTAGTTTTGCAAGGACAATTACTTATATTGCAAAGACGTCTTTTCAATAACATAAGCAGAAAGTGTACACATAGATGTCTCCAGATGGAATACACAAGAATCAAATTGACTACATCTGTGGGAGGAGACTATGGAGAAATTCAGTATCAACAGTCAAAATACAAGGTCAGGATCAGACTGTGGAACAGACCACTAATTGCTCATATACAACTTTAGGCTGAAGCTGAAGAAAATTAGAACAAATTCCTGAGAACCAAAATATGACCTTGAGTATATAACACCTGGATCTAGAGACCATCTCGAGAACAGATTTGATGTATTGAAACTAATGACTGAAGACCAAACAAGTTGTGGGAAGACATCAAGAACATCATAGAAATAATATCAAGAAAGCAAAAAGTCATTGAAAAGACAAGAAAGAAAGAAAAGTCCAAAGTGGATGTCAGAAAAGACTCTAAAACTTGCTCTTGAATATAGAGTAGCTAAAGTACATGGAAGAAATGATGACGTAAAAGAGCTGAACAGAAAATATCAAGGGGCAGCTCTAGAAGACAGACTAAGGGATTATAATGAAATGTACAAAGACCTGGAGCTAGGGAACCAGAAGTAAAGAACATGCTTGGCATTTCTCAAGCAGAAAGAACTGAAGAAAAAAGTTAAGCCTCAACTGTCAATACTGAGGAATTCTATGGGTTCTATCCTACAGTGCCACACCTATAGTAATAGGATACACCTATTACTATAAGCACTGTAGCATAAGCACTCAAGGCTGGTGGTTCAAACCCACAAGGCGCTCCTCAGAAACCCGACACAGGGTTGCTATGAGTCGGACCTGACTCAATGACACTTAACAACAACAACACAGGTAAAATGTTGATGCAGCAAGTATCAAGAGAAGATGGCCGTTTGAGCTGACCAGCTGCACCATCTGAGAAAGTTGAAGCTTTCTGCTACCACAAAGATGCACAGCGTTAGTAACCTTATTATACAGGATCACTGTGAGTTGGAACCATTCAACGGCAATTAACAAAACAAACAGAGGAAAGATTGAAGTTGTCAAAACCTTCATTTTGTTTGGGTCCATAGCCAATACTCATGGAAGCAATAGGCAAGAAATAAAATGATGTATTTCTCTGGGTAAATCTTTAAAGTGTTAAAGAGCAAGGATATTAGTTTGAGGAATAAGGTGCACCTGACCCAAACCAAAGTCTTTTCGATCGTCTCATATGCATGTGAAAGCTGGACAAAGACAACGGAAAAGGAAGACTGCTGAAGCATCGATGCATTTGAATTATGGTGCTCGTGAAGACTATTTCAAGTACCACGAAGTGCTAGAAGAACATGCACATTTGTGATGGAAGAAGCACAGCCAAAATGCTCCTTAGAAGCGTGGATGTGTTATCAGGAGATACCAGGCCCTGAAGAAGGGCATCATGCTTGGTAAAGCAGAGGGTCATCAGAGAGGAAGACCCCCTCCCCCCCCCAATGAGATGGACTGACACAGTAACTGCAACATTGGGCTCAAGTAGAGCAACAGTTGTGAGGATGATGCAAGACTGGGCAATGTGTGTTCCATTGTGCACAGGGTTGTTGTAGGTTGAAGCTGACTCTCGACAACACCTAAGAAAAACAGAACAACAGTAGACTAGGCCACATTGTTGAAGTAAAATAAAGAGTGCGGAAAGGTGTTTGATAGCAGTTACAACCCAAAAGAAGAGGGTACTGTGATGATATTTTTTGTTGTTGTTGTTAAGTGCCATCGAGTCGGTTTCGACCCATAGCGACCCTGTACAGGGTTTCCGAGATTATAAATCTTTACGGGAGTAGAAAGCCTCATCTTTCTCCCACAGAGCAGCTGGTAGTTTCAAACTGCTGACCTTAAGTCTCGCAGTCCGATTCGTAACCACTACGCTACCAGAGCTCTAGCGGTCATTATTTCATAAACTTAGAGATTCTGTTTGATGATTCTCTTACTTCTTATGATATAGATGCCTTATTGGAGGAACTGGAAAACTCCACTCTCCAGGACAGTGATGACTATTCTAGCCCCACCCTTCTTCCTCTGGATCAGCATTCCAGCAAAGTGACTAAGCTTGCTGAGACTTCAAACGCTCTCTGCACCCAGGATGACAGAACTCCCTTGAAGGTAACTTTGAAATCATTGTAGTATCTTGAATGTAGTTTTTTT